ATCTGCAGGCACCCACAGACACATGCACATAAACTCCACCCCATACCCACACATGCACACATATCTTTGAAGTATATACTGCAAAAATAGTGACTTTGAAAAACATAGTGACTTTGAGGCAGACTGAGCTATATGAGACCTTGTCTCAAAAACAAAAACCAAAAAACCAATCAAACAAAAAATCCCACAAAATCAAACAAAACAAAACAACCCCAAACCCAATGTATACATCCTTTGATGAGAGTGGGGTGGTGGTGGGTGACAGGTCTAGTGTAATTGGTCCTGATGCAGTATGTATGTGCGTGCGTGCGTGCGTGCGTGCGTGCGTGTGTGTGTGTGTGTGTGTGTGTGTGTGTGTGTGTGTACATAATGAATATTTGCTTTTGAAGGCTAGAAAGGACAATGAATTCCCCTGGACCAAGAATTTAAAGGTGTTTGTGAGTGGCTTGACTTGGGTGCTGGGAACCAAACTGGGGTCTTCTGGAAGGCAGTATGTTCTCTTAACTACTGAGCCATCTCTCTAGCTCAACCCTCAAGACCTTTATTTTACTGTCTCAGTCCACCAAGTACTGTGATTTTGCTCTGGTGCTCAACTCTCTGTCTCTGTCTCTCTGTCTCTGTCTCTGTCTCTGTGTGTGTGTGTGTGTGTGTGTGTGTGTGTGTGTGTGTGTGTATGGGGGTGTGTGGTTTGTTTATTGAGACAGTCTCATTCTGTAGCCTTGGGTAGCCTGGAACTTGCCAGGACTTCTCCCTTGAATTCCAGACTCATATTAAATCACCATCTTGATCTTTGAATATAAACTTTATCATGTCTGAAATAGTTCCAGAATAGTTCCAGTGTTTCCTTCTTTTTGCTGTAGGGTTTTCTGTTGATATTCTATACTTTTAGTTTATTGTTCAGCCTAAAATATTTGTACTCATCCTTAGCCTGTTTCCCATTCCATTTCTACCCTCCTAAACATTCTCTTGGCTTTATTTTCAAAACATATCCCAAACATCAGAAAATGTCCCTGACTGGACTTCAGTTATATGAACTTGTAATGGTATAATGATGTAAAGAGTACAGAAAATTCAAAACACCAAACATGGTACTTTTTCAAAGTCTTATATTTCTTGTGTCTGGAATATTTCTTTAAAAAACATTTATTTTATGTGTAGGCATGCTTTGCCTGCATGTCTGTGCATCATGTGTGTACCTGGTACCCAAAAGGCCAGAAGACGGTATTAGACATTTGCAAGCTGCCATGTGGGCACTGGGAATCGAACCTAGATCCTTTGGAAGAGCAGTGGGGCTCTTAACCCCTGAGCCATCTCTTCAGCCCCCTGGAATATTCTTTCCAGAGATAATCTACATGATTTCTCTTTTCAGTTTTCAACCACACATTTTATAGGCTTTTCCTGGCCTTTAAGCTTGTGACCTTTGAGCTTGCCTCTCCTGACTCTACCTTTTTTCCCTCCTTTGGAGTTCAAGCTCAGAGACTCAAGCTTGCTAAACATCTGCTCTAATACTTGGGCTATGTCCTTGTGGTGTTTGAAAGAAAATGGCCCCCAAACGGAGTGGCACTATTAGGAGGTTTGGTCTTGGAGGAAGTGTGTGGGAGTGGGATTTGAGGTCTCTTTTGTTCAAGCTTCCCTCCACATGGCTTTCAGTCAACTTCTTGTTGCTTTCAGTTACAGCACCACGTCTGCCTACATACTGTGAAACTTCCTGTCATGACGATAATGGACCGAACCTCTCAAACTGTAGGCTACCACCTCAGTTAAATGTTTTCTTTATAAGAGTTGCTGTGGTCATGGTGTCTTTTCACAGCAATAGAAAATCCTAAGAGTCCCCATCTCCAACCCAATCTTTTACAATCATTGATTTTTTTTTCTGTCTTGGCCTTGTCATCCTTCCCCCCCCCCAAGACAATGAATCTTACTAAGGCAGACATTGTTATGTCTTTTGTCCTTACTGCTGTACCTCTGCTGACCTGTTCCAGATTTACATGCCAGTCATGGCAATTATGTAGCAAGTGCTGTTGTGTATGTGCTAAGTTAGAGGACCTGGTTTTTAGGCTCCTTGTAAGTGTGCCTCCATTGCTGTGACAACGCATTTGAGATGAACAATTTACAAGGAGGAAATGCTGACTCACAGTTGGAGAGGCTAAGTCTTCAGTCAGCTGAGTTAGCAGGCTCCCTTGCCTTTTTTGTTTTTGAGACAGGATCTCTTTACATTTCCCTGGCTGTTCTGGAACTCACTGTGAGGTAGATCAGGCTAGCCTCAAACTCACAGAGAGCTGACTGCCTCCCCCTCCTGAATCTGTAATTAAAAGTGTGGGTCATTGTGCCTTGCCCTCTTTTGGATCCTATAGAAAGGTAGACCATGGCAGGGAGCCTGTGATGGAGGGATGCTGTTCATGTTATGGTGGCCAGGAAGCAAAGAGAGACAGGAAGGGGCAAGGGCCCAGTACCTCTTCAAGGCATGCCCCACTCCCTCCTAGTAGGCTCCATTTCAAATTCTATCACTTCCCCAAAGCACCAGAAGTTGAGGACCAAGCCTTCAGCTCATGCGTCTACGGGTATTTAAGGTACAAACCAACAGAATATAGTCGTGCATGCTTTTAGTCCCAGCACTTGTGAGGCAGAGTCAGGTGTATCTATGAGTTTGAGGCCAGCCAGGGATACACAGTGAGACTCTGTATCAAAACAAACAAAGAAACAAACAAAAAACCCATATTCCCAAATACTCATGCCACATATTAATGTAAATAACAACAAAGAGAACAAAAACCACAAGCTCTCATCTCAAAGGGGACAAGAGAGAGTTTATTTGGGGGCTAAATATGAGCGACCAGGCCTAGAAACACAGGCTAGGCTGCCCCAAATACCAGGTTCCAACATGACAACAGTCTTGTGAAATCTTTATAGTAACAGAGCAGAGAAAGTCAGAAATCAGCACACTTTTCAAATAACATGGTAGGGACATCAGGTAGGTGGGTGACAGCCCCTCTGCTCAGCCTCAGATATTTTAGTTTTGGGTTGGTGGAAGGTAGGGGTCTGTTTGTACATTCTCAAAAGACCCACTAGTCACAAAAGTGATAAGTCATACACAGAGGTGACAATAAATGGCTATCAAGGGGGCAAATCTAGCCCTGGGTAGTTTGTAATTAGGTTCTAGACCTGCAACATTCCAACCTCCCCACAATCATTGTAGTTCTAATTAGTTGAACAGCCTTTGAAGAATGTTTAGCATAAAGTGCAGCTTCTTTTTGGGAGCCTCCATTCTTCTTCTCCTGGTAAGATATGCATTTTTGTCCATCTCCAAGACTCCCCAGAGTTTTAATGATTCTTCTACTGCTCAGATGTCCAAGTTGGAAATCTGAGACCCCAGCCAAACTTCATTGTAAATCTAAGATCCAATGGCACAGGATAAACATTTCCATTCCAGAAGGGAAGAATATTGCACCGAAAGGAAGGATCAGACAGAAGTGAAGGTGAAACAAAACCCCAGCAGAGAAAGCATGAGGTCCTCCAGCCCCACAGCCAGCGTACTGACACAGTGATGTGAGCCTGGCTAACTGCAGCCCGAGTGCCTGCTCCCGCAGGCTGGCTCAGTTCACTAAGTTGCAGCTTCCTGGGCAGGCACTCCACAAACATCCTGGCCATAACCTCTTTCACTGCAGTCTTGGGTTCACGTAGTGCGGCTTCAGGCCTTGCCTTCCTGGTGGGAGTGGATGGACACCACTTGCAGGACTTCTACCCTGCCACACATACCTGACCTCCAGGCTTTCCTTCTGGAATCTCAAAGTATTCACTGAGGTCATTATCTGCTGCATAATGAGTTCAAGGGCAGCCTCAGCTATAAAGACCTGGTCTTAAACTGTGGTGGGGTAGGCAGGGAACAGGCTGGAGACACGGCTCAGCTGTTAAAAGTATTTGCTGAGAAATCATGAGGATCAGAGTTCAGATCTCAGTAGGGCGTCCTACATAAGCCTATAACCCCAGCTCTGAGGAGGGGTGGGGAGAGGAGGATTGCTGGGTCTTGCTGGCCTCTAGCTTAGATATATGAATACAAACCCCATCCAAAGCCTCAGAGAAACTCTGTCTCAAAAAACCAAAAAACAAAACAAAAAAACCCAGATTGAGACAGATCTTCAAAGGAATAGGTGGAGAGTGACAGAAGACATGTGACTTATCCTGGCTTCCGTGTGTGCACAAGTGCAAAGCTCACATACCACACACACACACACACACACTCAAATGAATAAAAATTGGGAGAAGAGACTACAAGTATATACAGTGAACCTATACTGAGTACAGATGAGAGGGGCCGAACAATGCAAAGTGGGTGAAGATCTGGCTAGGCCATTCATAAGTTAAGACCTTGATACTTATTGAATGGCTGGATTCAAGAGCATTAACAATGTGGCTTGGGTGGAATTGCTTTATCACTCAGGAAAGGCAGGAAGGCTGCTGAGTGAGTCTGAAGAGGTTTTATTTTTTGTTTGTTTGTTTCTTTTGTTGTGTTGCTTTTTGAGACAGGGTATCTCTGGGTAGCCAAGGCACTCACTTTGTAGACTAGGGTGGCCTGGAACTCAGAGATCTGCCTGCCTCTGCCTCCTGAATGCTGGGAAGATGTTTTTAAACAGTTGCTTTCCTCCTGCATAGTCTGGTCTACTATTTATATCAGGATACAGAATTCCCTTCGGATTTTCACTTCAGGATAATAAACTCAAGTGGACAATGAGTAGAGGTATACTGTATAAATGCTAACTCAGGAAGGGGATGTGCAAAATAGATAAGGACCGTGAGACGCTCAGTGAGGAAAGGCCCTTACTATGCAAACCTGACGATCTGAGCTTGATTCAGGGAAGCTCCATAAAGGCAGAAGGAGAGAATGAACTCTACAAAGTTGTCCCCCGACTTCCACAGGTGCACCATGGCATGCATGCCCCCACCACACTATGCACACATATAAATAGATAAAGATTAAAATATATATCAGTTCTACATTAGACTAGTAATTAAAAATAATTTTATTTTGACTTACATGATTGCAAGAGTGATGAATACAAATACCACAAAACCAAAAGCACTTCCCCAACCAAAACTAAAACACAGAGGTAAATACAAAAGATGTAAAATTATTATCCATGCAATATTCAAAAAGTTTCAAATCCCAAACAAACCAAAGTCCTATAGTAGTTGTGATTTGACTTTCTATAAAAGAGACATTTCAACCATTAACAAAGACTATAGCTTATATATACTATTAACTGTACAGTGTACCTTTAAAGTGAGGGATATATGCATATATGTATTTACAAATATACAAAAATGTACAGTGGAACTTCACAGTTGAAAGAATATGTTGCCAGAAGTCTGGCAAAATTTCACTTTAAAATGAAACAAACCCTTTTAAAAGTCTTGCTAAAATGTAAATATTGAAACTAATATCTAATTGGTATTTTACACAAACACATCCAGAATACAGTTTAAATTGTACTCACACATATTGTTGTGATGTCTTGGCATACACACCCCTTCCACACTTAGTAAGTGGCTGAATCTCCACCCTGGTTCTGAGCTGCTATTGAAGCTATGCGGTGGCTTCCATCTCTCAAGGTCAGGCACTTCTTAGTCTCCTGGACAATTTTTATAGAAGCAGGATCACTTCCACTACCCCACTATTCTACCCAGTTAGGACTCATCCAAGCTCCAGGTTCCAGCCTGAAAGAACAGCACATTTTTTTCTAAATCTACTTTGGGGTTTGCATTTGTCTTGGGAAAAACAAGTACAGATGTGGAACCAGGCCTAGTGGCTCCTGACTGTAATTCCTGCTCTGGAGGCAGAGGCTGAAGAAATGTTCCAAGTTCAAGGTCAGACTGGCCTATATATCCAGTTCCAGGACAGTCAGGACTGCAATAGGGAGACTGTTTCAAGATAAAACAAAAAACAAACAACAAGAGTATGAGAAAGATGTGATAAAAAACCAAGAGTGTGATAAAGATGGTTCTTGTTAAGGAACAAAAGCTTAAACTTCAAGTTTTTTGTTTACTTTTAATAGTATAGGTACAATCTTAATGACACATATTTTTCAATAAATCTTTTAAACCATGTGGGTAGATGATATGGAAATTCTTAGGATGGATGGAAAAATGAAACAAATAGTAGCAACAATAATAATAAAAAAAACTAAGATACAAAACAAACCTTAGGTTCCTCCCCGCCACAGTTGCCCTGGGAACTCCCTAGGTAGCTGAAGGTGATCTTGAATTTCTGGTCCTACTTCCTTCCCTTTTGAGCACTGAGCTTATATGGGAAGCACACCCAGCCTATGTGGTGCTGGAGATGAACCAAAGCTTCGTGCACGCCAGGCAAGCACCCTAACAAGGAGGCTATATCCTCAGCTCCAAAACTTAGTCTCTTACAACTGATCATTTTGCCAGGTTATCTAAGAAAACTTTTCTTTGAAGAAATTTTCTTTTGTGCTTTGTTTTGTAAAGTAAAAGTAGGTAGCTGAAGGGCCACTTAACCCTGAGAGCCCAGCAGAAAAGTGGCAAGGCATATGATACTTATCCAAGTAGCACATGAGGAGTTCAGGCTTACAAACTTCCAAACAGGTGCAAAGAGGACTACTTCCAAATTTCACAGTAAAGTAAGATGGACTTTGAAGTGCCATCAGACACAACCTCGGTGAGTTCTGCACAGCCCGTTCTGTGGGCCAAGGAAAAGTAGGCAGTACAGCACAAATGGACTTTGAGATCTCTACACCGGCAACAGCGGCAGCACCCTGCAAGTCCCAGGTGCTGTCTGGCCACAGCACGGCACCCTCTGGATGGCAAGGGCCAGGTGTCAGGACAGCAGTCAGGCAGTGTTAGAGCGAAATTTAAAAGGCCGTGGCAACTTCGGTTCCATGACGACCTCCGACTTTAACACAGTCTCGAGGGAATTTGTCTAACTGTTCATATGCCAGCCGCCCGTCTTCTCCTGGATAGGGAACATTTAAACATGAATAACACTTTGCATTTAACTTCTTTATACATCACACAGGATAGCATGGTGGAGCCATGCTATTGCTACATGTTTCTCACAGTTCCTGGGGATTGGACCCAGGGCCTCGCACATATTGGACCAAACACTTTCCCACTGAACCCTCAGCCTGCTATTGCTATCTTAGCTAGTTACTAGGTTAAGAAAGAGTTGTTTTTATTCTTCTCAATTATGCTATAGATTTCTAGACAATGCTTAGAAGAACCAAGAGCCTTTGAGTTAATATTAGAGACCAGACGAAAGGCAAAGCACAAAATGCTTGCCATCTGCTGCCAATTGCACACGGCAGATTAATTTTTGTTTAGTGCATTAGGGATTTCAGTAAGGGGTATCCTTGACCTCAGTGTATTGAATCTCTATGTAACCTGAATATATTCGATATTGACTTAGTTATACTATGTCATATATACACATCATTATGCATTATATCATTATGCACATCTACATGACTAGTGGTAAAAGTTAATTTTTTAAGGTTAGGCTTTCAAGCTTTAGCTAAAAGTTAGTCTTTACCCCTGTGGTAGCTTGAATGTAATTGGCCCCCATAAGCTCATAGGGAATGGCACTATTAGGAGGTGTGGCTTTGTGGCCTTTTTGGAGGAAGTGTGTCACTGTGAAGGTGAGCTTTGAGGTCTCATGCTCAAGCCACATCCAGTATCTCAGTTCACTTCCTGTTGCCTTTGGACCAGAAGTAGAATTCTCAGCTCCCTTTCCTGCACCGTGTCTCACCACACTCCCAGCTGCCATGTCCTTCCATGATGGCAATGGACTAAACCTCTGAAACTATAAGCCACCACCTCAACTAATATTTTCCTTTATAAGAGTTGCTATGATTATGGTGTCTCTTCATAGCAGTAGAAACCCTAGCTAAGATAATCCTCTAAACACACAGTGCTTCTCCAGGCAATGATCATTCAGTTTTGTCTATAGCCACATCTTTTACTTACTTATGTGGGCGCGTGTGGGTGCGTGTGTACCACCACATGCATGTGGAAGACAGGGACAGCATTCTGGTGTCTCTTGCTTCAACTGCACACTAGCTGGTCTTTGGCGTCTGAGTGAGTCTTTTGTCTCCACCTCTCACCTCATTGTAGGAACGCTGTCATTACAGATGTGTGTGCTTCTAGCTTTCTAAATGGCTCCTGCGGACTAAGTTCATGTCAGATGTGGGCAGCATTTTACCTACTGAGCCATCTCGCTGGCCCTCATAGCAACATCTTGTATAGCTAACATTTTGAAAGTAAATTTTATTACTATTTAAAAAACTGACTAAAATATAGGAATATGAGGGCTGGGCATGAGCCAGGGATAATGTTCATATTACAGAGAGAGTCAAAAGATTGCCTTGGATATATTGAAAGGTGGTCACAAGAAAATAAATAAAGCCAGGCATGCTGGTGTAGGCCTGTAATCCTACCTACACAAGAACCCGAGGCAGAAAGATCACTACCAGTTCAAGCAAAACCTGACTAACTCAGTGAAATCCTGAGGGCTTGGTCCTCTCAGTGATCATCATGACTCTAGCCCTTTGTCACAGGGTGTCTTATCTATTGCCATTGGGAATACTGGAACGCCATATGAATTTAGGCTTGTGTGTGAGAAAAGTACACCAGTATTTGTGCATTAGGGTCAAGGAAGAGTCACAACATTGAGTTCGGGGGTGGGGTCTTCCAACTCTACTGCATATTATAATCACCCAGAAGGCTTTAAAATCCCAGTGCAGGGGCCCCCTGAAGACATCAGGGGGCAGCTTCATTGGGTGCAGCAGAGGCACAGTGACATTAGGCTCTCCTGGAGAGTTGGATATGCAAGTAGAGATGCCCGGACCATGCTGGTGAGGCGTGGTTGGTATGAGCAGCGTGGGCAGGGTGGTGGGGGAAGTGGAGGTGGTGATCATTCTTGGAGATGCATCTGGGAGTGCAGCTAAGTGAGTCTTGGGGCACAGGCCATGGGATGCCCCTCCTCAATCTACCACGGAAAGGGAGACACTGGCTGTGCTTTCCCAACTGCTGGCTATTGTTTATTTTTTAATCCTTCATTGGTATTTCAGAACCCTGATGGATAAAAGACTTTAAGCCAACAATACCCTGGGTACGTTTTAGGGAATTAAGTAACTTCTATATCTAAAAAAGCCACACGGAATAACTATTTTATCCTTTAAGTAAACACAGGCTGGTCAATCTTCCTCTGTAAACAATGGGGTATTCAACACAGCACTGGTTCTTATTAATCCCATAGTTGTAAGAAAGAAGGGCTCAAAATAAATGGGATTTTCATGGTGGTTTTAAGAACCATGAGTCTTCTTCATATGATGAAGATGTATTGTCAAACCAGAGTGGCTTTTTCCCTGGAGACATTGGCAGGATTAGGCTTAAAAGCTATTAGAGGAGCATTTTTAGACTTTAGAGTATGTGACTACAGCAAAGTTTTCTATAACTCTCTCCCGTCTTCCTTTTTCCTCCCCCTCTCTCTATGTATATGTGTAGGTAGGAACTTTGTAGACTACACTGGATTGGAACTCAATATGTAGCCCAGGCTAGCCCCAAACTTGTGGCAAGCTTCCTGCGTCAACCTTTGAAGTGTTTGGATTACAGTTGTGAGCTACCAGCAACAACTGACTATTTTATGCAGAGTTAAGAAAGGTTTTCCTGTTGGCTGAGGATGGTGGCTCAGTTGGTAGAGTACTGGCCTATCACGAACAAAATTCTGGGTTTGACCATCAGCACCAAATAAATCAGAGGCTGTGTCACAGACCTGTGTCACTGGCTCCTGGGAGTGGAGGCAGGAGGATCAAGACCATTTTCAGGATACATAGTGAGTTCAAGGCTAACCCGGGATACATGAGACCTTGTCTTTTAAAAAAGGAGAAAGAAAAAAATCTTTGTCATCCTTATCATCCCAAGTCTACCCAACTGAGCAAAAAAGGCACAACTCTTCACAAAGTAAAGGGGGAGGGGCTCTCTGGATATCCCAGAATGAAATGATGCCCAGTGAGAATAGGGCAGCGGGTAATCAGAGGTCACCGTGAGGCTGAGGCAAGTGGGCTACACAGCATTCACTGCCGAGGTCAGGTGCATCATTGACTCTAGGGTGTCATCTCATACTGACAGCCACGCCAGGATTTCTAGAGTTCCCATTTGCCTTCTGTGTCCCAGGTTCTAGCAGTATGAGACAATGTCACTGTGTAACCTCAACTGTACTTGAACTTGAGGTGATTCTCCTGCCCTAGCCTCTTCAGTGCTGGGTTACAGGTACGAGCCACCATTTTCAAAGCACAGTCTTGATTCCAAACAGGACATACACTGATGAAGTCTTGGAGATAACAAGGAAGAAAAACTCCAATTCTTGTCCAGAGAGAACAAGGGGCGTGGCAAGATCTGGACACAATCTATTTCTCCTATTCTGGGGGCAGTGACTGCACAGCCAAGGGGAAAGTGGACAGAGCAGGGGACAAGAATCTTCCTTTCAATTCCTAGGAGAATATCAGAAGTCAGCAAACATATAAAAAACCAACTCACCAAGAGACAAAAGGGTTTCCGAGGCCACGTTTCTGATTTCTTCAGTGTCAGACTGACACAGTGTCACAAGCATTTTAATGCTTTCGGTGGCCTGCCAGAGAAAACAGATTAGTGCCTGACACTTAGACCCAGTCTTCCAGGAGACTAAACAGCTAATTCTTTAAGATGTAGCCCATTGAGTCTAAAATTACCCTCATTTTAGAACTCTTGTGCTTGTATTGAAACAGCATGTTGTGTGGAATTCTTCTCATGAGTTGGGGTTGGTTTGGAAAGAGGGCTTCTGTTCCCAGAAGGGACTGTATCTTCTGGGAGAAAAGGAATAGAGCAGGATGTAGTGCCCTCAACTGGTGATATGCCCGGGTTAAAACAAGTCAGGCAGAGCCCAGATAGACTGCTGCACCCTATGTGTCTATCCGAGTGAAGTCTGTAGCAGAGACATTCAGCCAAGATGAGTCACAGCACACTAGGAGAGTGCCCAAATAAATACTTAACCAATGGGGACATTTTTTAGCAGGGGTGGGGGAGTGGAGGGGTTGGGTCACTTGAAGGTAATTTTCTGACCAAGTAACACGGAAGGCAAAATTTCCCACAGTTGTTTTCCTTCACAGATCATTAGCTTTTCCTTTTATGGCATTAATCCCTTGTTTTCATGTCCTCTCAGGTCTGCTCCGTGCCCCATGTGTCCATCTAAGGTAAGCACTAAGGTGTGGCCCTCTCGTTCCTTTCCTTGGGCCCTCTCCTAAGGTTTTTGTGGTAAAGGCGGGCCACACATGAATTCCAGCCTGTTGAATGATGCACTTCCGTTGGAAATCTGCAGCCTTTGCTTCCTTGTGTCTGCATTGGCCCTCTCCCAGCTCACTAATGCCTCCTCTAGCATGTTAGTTACCGTTGCTCAGCTATAAACTTTGTAGATAATGACATGATGTCCTGATATCAAAGTCTGGATGTTTCTGCAAACTAATTTCAAGAGAAAGGATCCGAGAACTCAGTGGCAAACTGAGTTGAGATACTTCAGTGCAGGCTTTACTTTTCTATGCTAATTTATACAAATAAACACTGGGGAAATCATTGTATCATCTCTTTGGGGGGTGGTTAAGATACTTTTCTAACATTGACCCCAAGTCACACTGGCTCTTGTGGGCAGTGGTAAATGACAATTATTCTCTACTTGGTGACTAACAAACCCTGTGCAGTCATTGTTCATGGGGAAAAGGTCCCTGATTATGCAGCTCCAAGAAGATAAGACACTGCTACAAGAGGTGCTTTGAATACGGAAAGAATCCAATATGTCCATGGCTTGTCTCTAAGGTTAACAGACTCAAGTTGTTCTAGGGTTGGCCAGGGACAGGGTCTCTGAGTTTAGATAGGAGTGTGGACCTCAGAGTTTGAATGCGGTGTGAGGCTCTGGGTCCGGACAGGGGTGTGGGGCTCTGGGTCTGCACAGGGTTGAGGGGCTTTAATTCTGGACCACATGGGACTGTGGGGCTCTGGGACTGGGTTTTACCTCCAGGCTCTTTAGGGCCAGGCATGCTGCCTTCTGTAGCTGGAGATTGGTCTTTGTTAGTGCTTCACAATAATAGAGCAAGGCCTGAAAGGAAGGAGAGATGCTGTGAGACATTTGAACTGTTTGTCATCCAAATAGTATGTAAGACAGGGGAACGTTGGGGTGGGAGAATGTCAGGGGGCCATGTGAGGGGTCCAACAGGCAGCATTGGATCTCATGGGCAGTTGGCAAAGCTACACCTGAATGAGCCTTGCAGAGGCAAGTCCCCAAGGACTATATGTCCTGAGAACCTCACGCTGTTGTTGAGCATAGCTCTGATTGTTGCCTTCATGGTCACCACATCCTTTATAATCTATGGGTTGTATGAAGACTCTCAGTGTCACTGGTACTTACAATAACAGTGATTGACTTTTTCCAAGCATTGATGCTGGAGCAGATTAATGATTCAAACGCCAGCCTTATAGACAATTTAGACATGTAGAATTGCTAATAAGATTAGATCAAGGTGTTTTTGTTAATGGCTTTGAGTTAAAAAATCTTGGGGGAACAATTTAAAGTTTAGAAAGGCACATAGTTGAATGAGGGACTCATTGAGGTCAAGAAACAAGAACAACAGCATCCTGGCTATTGCTGGCTGATGCACCTTTCTTGCTAGGATGGATTGGTGATGATCAAAGTTGATAATTAATTCCTTGTACCCATTTCTGCCCTCAGCTTCCTGATGTAAAAAACTGTTGATGAGTGGGTATGCACCCCGAGGATTTAAAGTCAAACTGACTGGTTGTTTTATGTTTATTATATAAAAGTTTGTATTTTAATAAACTTAATTTGTGGGTACTTAAACAGTTTTAAATAAAATTACCTTTTGAGATAAATAATAAAATGACTGGCCCTTTCTTTGTCAGGTGAATGTTGTGATGCTATGACAGAGGTGGGAGGAGATAAGAGAAGGTGGAGGTGAGAGTACCTAGAATGGACTACATATGGGCACTAAGTTTTCGAAGAACAAGCTTAACAATAAAAATGAAAAAAATGTCACCCATTTTTGTACTCTAAAAATAATAAAAAGCACAGAAAGATACTAGTTAAAAATATATGTATAAAATATATAAAATTACCATCTGAGATGAACTATAGCATGGCCTTTCACCGTGTTCAGGGTAAGAAAAAAATTAATGAAGTCTCACAAATTTATTCAGAATTGATTGGTGTATTTTACCAGATTCCAGACTCAGGGTTGGGAGATACGAAATAATGATTATAGGTTTTAGTTTAGTGATCAGGTTTTTTTCCTTTGTTGGTTTTTATTTTAAAACAATGCCACTTTTGCTTTTGATTAACAGAATTATGTGCATCTCTAGGGTAGAGGGCAATAACCAAAGACAAGGTGTGATGCTGAGATCTACCTCCAGTGTTCCTACCTCCTCGCATGCTCACTACTTCTGCGGGTTGAGAAGCTTTGCACTCTTCCTTCGCAGTCATTTTGAGATATATCAGAAATTGTGATGCTTGTAACCCTAGTAACATAGTTTGATAGTTCTATTCCAGGCCCACCGTGAATTCTCAACAATCCTCCTGCTTCAGTCTTTGGGATGAGTGACAGGATTAGAGCCCAGCTGTTTGTTAACGATAAGTGACAGGTAAGCCTGTGGCTTGATACCCATGACTTAGCATCCTACCTTTTCTCTGAAGTGCTCATTTTTGGAGGCTGCTGCCAAGTAGAGTGTCACAGCCTCGTTGACCTCATTGTCATCTCTGGTGAGCAGCAGAGCCAGGGTCCTGAGAACTTCCTGTTGGGCAGGGAGGTTGCTGGGTGTGAAGTCACTCATAGTTTGCAGAAGTTTCTCATCTCTCAGTGACTGCAGGGTCTGCACCATGGCAACTGGAAGGTGAGGAGCCAGAGGTCATGTTCTGATAGTACAGTGGCATGTTTGTTGAGAATGCAAGCATTTCATTTATGTTTTCAGTAAAAGCATATGCACAGCAGATTCAAGTGTATATAAAAATGCTGTCTATGATAAAGGCGGTATTTCAAACTAGTAAGAAAAGGTCAATAATTTAAATAATTGTGATGAGATCAGGACAAATTGTAGAAAAAATGTAAAGCTGAATTTCTACCTTAAAATGGCAGCAAAGATATATAGATTTCTTTTTAAAGATGGGAACTCATATAGCCTAGATCAGCCTTGAACTTTCCATGAAGTAAAAGATGACCTGAAACTCCTGATCCTCCTGCCTCTTACTCCCAAATGCTGTGGTTGTAGGCATTCATCACCTAGTACCACACAGATGAAATTGAACATTGAAATGTAAAAATATACAATGGAGAAAATAAGAAGAAACATTATCTGCTATTTTCTTAATAATCATAGTAAACACCGTTTTTCAGTCTTTCAGTCAAAACCATATGCTAAAAACCTAATTCTAGGTGAAGGGTCCAGACAGAAAGGGGAATGCCACTCAGCTGATAGGAATTTAGAGATAATATGATAAACTATAGAATTTTGAGTTCCACTGGGACAAATCGACCATGTTCTGTGAATATAGAGTGGAGTCTAACTCCTAACAAGATATCCAACAAGGATATCTCCTGGTCTCTAAAACATAACGACGAGGCTGTGTCTATTCAGTAACATGGAAATTCATGGGAAATAGACAGGAAAGGAAATTCCAAAGTTCACCTCTTGTAACGTATTCCCATGCTGAATAAAGGTGAGAACCATCTAGATATTTTTGCTTTAATTTCCTGTTTTCTTTGCTGTGGACATCTGTTAGTTCCACTACTTTGTAAGTAAGTACACCAATAAAATCCCTAAGGGAGTATCAAATAACAATTAAGCAAACAAACACAAAAAACATTTGACAATACCAATACACAGGATACATCCAAGTATCAGGGCAATAGAAAACTAATAAAATGCTTTAAATATTTGATATTTAACAGCATGAAGCATATTAACTTTAAAATAAGATATAATACTTTATAAGGAATAATCATATTTGGGATATTAGCTCAGAGTGCAGTGCTTGTCTGGTATGGGGGATCCTGGGTTTAATCCCCTACTATTGCAAAAGCAAGCATAAAAACAAGCAAACAAACTCCAGTCTAAACAAGACACGATTTTGAAATCTAAAACCATGCATGTTCAAATGAAAAATTGAAGTCTACAAGCAGGAGAAAGAGATTTGAATATATATTTTCTATTTTCCAAATTTTCTGTAATGCAAAAACTATTTTATAATGAAAGAAAAAAAAGGCATTTAAAAATAAGGGAAGGACTAAGGGTAGGGTTGGGATCGTAGCCCAGTTGGTAGAGCCTCACATATACAAAGTGAATGGGTTCAGTCTCCAACATCACATCAACTGGGCATGGTAGCACACACCTGTAATCTTAGAACCTGGGAGATAGAGGCAGGAAGGTCAGAAGTTCAAGATCATCCTTGGCTACATAGTAAGTCTGAAGCCAGTCTGGACTAGTGACCCAATCGAAAACCAAAAATAAACAAAAGCAAAACAAGAGAGATGACTCAGCCTTATGAACACAAACTGCTTTTGCATAGGATCAGAGAACTTCATTCTCAGCACACAGGTGTAATGGCTCAACTCTTTAAAACACCAGCTTCGGTGGGTACAATGCCCTCTTCTGGTCTCTGTGAGCACTGCACTCACCTGCACAGACCCATACTTGACATATATACACATAACTTAAGATAAAAATAGAAGTTTAAACAAAACAAAGACAAAAACAACCAACCAAACAAACAAATAAAAGCAAAAAAACTGGGTTTCAGAGATGGTTCAGAGGTTAAGAGCACTGGATGCTCTTCTAGAGTTCCTGAGTTCAACTACCAGCAACCACATGGTGGCTCACAACCATCTGTAATGAGCTCTGGTGCCCTCCTCTGGCCTGCAGGCATACTTGCAGGCAGAACACTGTGTACATAATAAATAAATTAATTAAAAAAAGCAAAAACCAAAAAACCAAAACCTAAGTCTAACAAAAAAGCAAAAACAAACAAACAAAAAACAACCACAAAATTTCCCAAGGGTTAAAAGGTATTTTTCCCCCACTGTCATTCCCCATTCCTCCTGCTGAGTGGGTAGGTTGTATCAAGGTCTATCACTATGAGTTGGGACTATGAACTGCCACACTAAGCCCTGAGTAATTCATATATCTGCTAGAAAACTGATCTACACTTGGCAAGCCTAGTATCACATGTATGCCATGAGGCATTGCATCTGTAAGACAGGGCCTCCCTGACCTGGTCATTTGTGCCAGGCATATCCCCTGCAAGGCTTTCTCTAAAGCACATGTGTCCCATGCTGGGCAGAAATGTCTCCTTCATGATGCCAAACAACATTGCTGCATTGCACATTGCTGCAGGATTTAATGTTCTGGAAAGAGCAGAGAAAACCTGGAACTAAGCCAGACTAGTTGCTGCTCTGTGGTGCTGTATCAGATGCTGCCTGGTCCCAGAGAATACACCCTATTCCTCCTGTCCCTTTAGCCTGGATTGCTAAATCTTGGTGACTTTATTGAGCCAGAAACTTTATTGACCTGAGAGCCAGAAACGAGTCCCTGCCCAATATCTTCTGCTGTCCTGAAGAGCGCGGTTCTCTATTCAGATATAATATGCACAATATTTGAAGCTCCGTGTGAAAGCATTGGGCTGAGCTTGCCTTACCCTTAGTCACCCCTTCACCATCCTTGAATGGCCAGCCTATTGTACTTTCTATCTTTTCCCTTCTCACTGTCTCACTCCCGTCTTCATTTGGAGTCCATTTCTGTCTATTCTGAATAAGAATTCCACCACAAAAGGCAATATGAAATAGCACTGCAAATAGGCTGAGAAAGGACGGAACGCAATAGGATCCCCAGTCACCTGCCAATTTCCTGTTTAGTGAACCCCTGCTGGGGACCAGTGTGCCTAGTGAGATTCTGTTCCAACACCAGGAAGTTTACTAAAGTTAAGATCTTGAAGTCACTGAAAAGGCAAGCTCAACCGTGGAGGGCAATCCTCACTAGTAGTCTTGAGTAGCAAGACCAGAGCTGGCGCCAGACCGAGATACTACTGCACCATGACAGGAGACCACATCCTACCTTGTCTGGCCAGCTGGCTCAGGTAAGTCTCCAGGTCACTCACACCATGGCTGGTAAAGAAGCTGTGATACTGGAATACGGTGATGACTTCCGAGGAGAGGCAGGAGGGAAGTAGGGGCTCAGAGCGGTCCAGGATTTGGGACACCAGGGTTCTAAACACTGGGAAGGAATAGACAAAGTGACTTAAGGAACATGACCACTTATTCATTTATCCATCCATTCATTCACTCACCCATTCATTCAACCTTTATCAAGGTATAGCATGATGAATGTGATAACCACTACACTACGGAAAATGTGACTGTCATAGGATGGATTGTACCTCCTGAAATGTGATCAAAATACACCTCTCCTTTATAAGCAGTTTCTGACTGGTGTTTTGTCACAGCAGAAAAAAAATAATGAATACAGAATTTTAAAAAATGTCACCGCTGGCATCCTGCTTGCTCGGCACCATTTATAGTCTAGCTGACTAGCTCATCTTTTCCTAGGGGAGCGTGTATTTCTTTTTCAGGGCTGGCCTTCATATGCACCCCTCCCTGCCCAGGTTACAGGGGAGGAGGAGCATTCTCACTGCGGTTTGTACCTGGTTCTGCCAGTCCTGGATATTCTTTGTTGATAGTTTTGGCGAAGTTGGCCTCCAGCTGTTGGATCACTCTGTCAGCGGAGCTGTGGTAGACCCCAACTGGGCTGCAGCACTTGGTCCAGAAAGACAGCAAAGACAGCTTTTTGTGGAATTCTGGTATGGCTGGAAAAGAATGGGATGTTGCTGAAAAGATGAAGACAGCTACTTGGGTGGTATGTGCAAGGTATCCCCAGGGACATTTTAGCTTTTCTTTCGTGTTTTGTTTCGATTTCTCTGTGAAACAGTCCTGGCTATCCTGGAACTCATTCTGTAGACCAGGTTGACCTTGAATTCGCAGAGATCTGCCTGTCTCTGCCTCCTGACTGATGGCTTTAAAGGCGTGCACTACCACTGCCTGACTTTCTCTTTTGTGTTTTTCACAGATTGTACTTTTATTTTTTAAATACTTTAATATAATATTATTAATTAATTATATAAGACTAGGTCTCATGTAACCCATTTTGGCCCTCAAAGGATAACCTTGAACTTCCAATTTTCTTGTCTACCCACAGGCAACTTTCTTTCCTTCTTTCTTTCATTCTGTAAGCATTTGAGAGACAGAGAGAGAGAGAGAGAGAGAGAGAGAGAGAGAGAGAGAGAGAGAGAGGGAGGGAGAGTATGTGTGTATGTTTGTGCATTTGTGTGTCTGTGTGTGTGTCTGTGTGTTACTGTGGATTGATCCAAGGATCCCATGAATGCTCCACTACTGAGTTATACCTCAAGGCATCATTTTCCTATTGTTTTTCAGATATGGTCCTGCCCAGGCTAACTTTGATCTCACTTTATATATAGCACAGGTTGGCCTTGAACGGGTCATCCTCCTGCCTCAGTCTCCTGAGTAGATGAGATTGGCTACATCACCACAGTCACTAAGAGTGCGGTTTTCAGTTGGAACTACTATAAGATTCTTTGGGGATTGGCAGGTGGTACAAAGAAAACCCCCTCCTCCCTGGATAGCAAAGGGAACACAGTGAATGCTCAGTTGTTTGCCCTCAAAGTATGCTCTGTCCTGGGGAGACCACACTTAATGCCTGTGATCCATCAGCAACGACCAGGATCATCAGGATCAGTGATGCAGATTTCAGGAGAAGCCGTCAGAGGGGCTGGAACACAGTAGTGCTTGCTGGAGGAGCCTTTCCCCCTGCCCTGTGGCTCTCAGGCCAGAATGAGCAAACAGGACGGCAGCAGGGTGCAGGCCGAAGTCACACTTGTGGGTGGCTATGATCAGGAGGAGCCTGGGACACAAGTCATTTGCAGCCTGAGTATTTGCCACTTTCATACCTTTTGGACGTCTGCCAAGGTCATCTGCTTATAGCAGGAGTAGGCAGTAGAGGCAGAAGCTCATAGAGAGAACTTCAGGGGAGCTTTAGGCTCAGTCACAGATTACCTTGCCTTCATCAAAGAGTCCAGTGGTCAGATCACAAAAAGTCAAGGGCATCTTCCCCATGCCAAGTTCTTTTGGAGCTAAGGAATAGTTCAGTTGGTAAAGTGCTTGCCTTGAAAGCACAAGGACCCGAGTTTGAGCCCCAGGACCCACAATTAAAAGGCTGGTGACATAGTGCTTGTAACCTCAGTGCTGGGGAGGATGAGGCAGGAGGATCTCTGTTACTTGCTGGCTAGCTAGCCTAAATCTACTTGGTACGCTCCAGGCCAGTGAAAAATCCTGTTTCAAAAACCAAGATATCATCCTAAAGAATGATATCTGGGGGCTGGAGAGATGGCTCAGAGGTTAAGACACTGGTTGCTCTTCCAGAGGTCCTGAGTTCAATTCCCAGTAATTACATGGTGGCTCACAGCCATCTATAATGAGATCTGATGTTCTCTTCTGGCCTGCAGGAATACATGCAGGCAGAACACTGTATATATAATAAATAAATATAAAAAAGAGAGAGAATGATATCTGAAGTTGGCGTTTGGTCTTCACACACATTGCACCCTTCCCCAAAGTTCTGCCTCACACACCCTTCAGAGCCAGGCTGCTCTGTAGGTTAGGAGTCCATGCTGTTTCTCTTTCAGGAAACACCGCCTGTGCAACAGCGTCCACTGGCAGCGGGGGAGAGTATTTAACGAATTAGAACAATTCAGATTACCTGTCCTAAAGGCAATCTCGGCAATAGAAAACATCTGAGAAGCCCTGCAGTTGTGTGCCATTTCTGTGCTTTTGAGAGTCCAGCGGGTCTGTGTGCTTTGGTTCCAGGGATGGCCTGCAGGTGGCGCGCTTACCTTCCACTACAGAGGTGATGTTCCCGAGGTTTTCGTCGCTCACTGCTGCCAGCTTCTCCATCACTAGCACCTGCCTTGACAGCTTCTCCAGAAGACTTCTTGCCACAAAGGGGATTTTGCTGGAGAAGACGATTTGCTGACAAGACAAATAAAAGCCCTTTTCAATGATGTCGAGGGCAGTGACCTTGCCCTCTGCGCCCTTCCCAAAGCGGTTGCCCAGGCTGACCGTTGCAACGCTTTGTCCCTGCCTGACAATGTTCCTCATTCTCTGCCAGTTCATGACATCATATCTGTTTATGTTACTTTCAGCCCCTTTCACATATGTATATGTTCTGGAATTTTCTCAGTGGCAGAGCTTCAAGTTATTGTGATTTTTCCACTTTCCTCCCTTTCTTTTTTCAGACAGGGTCTGCCATGTGTTTCAGACTGGCCTGAAACTATTAGCTCGGGCTGTCCTCAAACTCATAGCCCCATGCCTTAGCTTCCCAAGTGGTGAGATTTTTGGTATAAACTCCGCACCCAGCTCTGCCCTTGCTTCTGTGTAAACCTCAGCCTCTTTGAAGACAGCAGAGGGTTAGGGTGGTGGGTAAGCAGAGAAAGATTTGCTTTACAAACTGCATGGTTTTATTTCCCTGTTTCCAGGCGGAAAATTCAGAGCATATTCTAAAGCCATTCTTGTAGTCAGAGCTACCCCGGTGCAATCCAAGAACACAGTCTGCGAACCTGGTGCCACTCTGAGCTCTACACATGTATTAGCTCACACAGTTTCTCATACCGCCATCTCGATTTTGGTGACAGGAAACTGTGTGACTGAGGCAAATCGAGGTTAAGTAACTGGCCTAAGGCCACATAAGCAGGCGTCGGTTTCACTCGTGTGCAGGATACAAGGAAAAGAAGGTCTGAGACTGGAAGGACCTAAGTGACTTGCTTAATGGCTCTGCTCCTTCTCTGTCCCTTGGGGGCCTGCCCAGGTGACCTGGAAGTCAGAGATGGCAGGCATGGCTCATGGGTGAGGATGACACTACCGTGCCATACTGTTGAGAGCATTCGGACCCTAAGATAAGTGGCATTCTCTAACTTCAGAGTCTAGCAGTGAGCCTGGTGTGCTGTGCACACCTGTGATCCCGATGTGTGGGAAGAAGCGGCAGGCACTCAGCTACACGGTAAGTTCAAGAGCGGCCCGGCTATGAAACAAAATGAAACGGAAGTCTGGCAATCACTCACTAGTGTCTTTCTGTGAGCAAGTACGGGACACACACCTCATTTCTAACGTTATAGTGGACTCACAGAATGCCCATTTTTAACTCTCCCCAATTGTATACCACGTGATAAGGAAACACCCTGTCTATGGAGTGAAAGCCAGTGGGGAACGGGGCTCGTCATCCTCACTCCTTCAGCCCATGCCCTTTTTTGTCTTTTGAGATTTTAACTACATTGTTTTCCTCTCTCCTTTTCTCTTTGCAAAATTTCCAAAATGCCCCTCCTTTCTCTAAAATTCATTGTCTCTTTTTTCATCAACTGTTACATACATACACGTATATGCATATATAATTCTAAGCACAACCTGTTCTGCCTGTATAATATTACGTGTATGCATGTTTTCAGCCAGCCTGTGCAACACAAACCTTCAATGTTTTTCTAGCACAGATCTGCTCCACAAGAGAGTTGGACTGTCTCTCCTGGCCCTGCCAGAGAGGAGCAGTGTACTGACCACTGCAAACCCATCAGCCTTTGGGAAGCACTTTACCCCCTCCATGGAAGAGACTTCTCTTAGGTTTTATAAGAGTGACTTCACCTCTCAAAGGCTGGCTGGTGGTTTGCCTAGCACATTGTCAGGGTCGGAGAAGGTAATTATAGATCTGAAAGAGTCTTAGGTAAATAGTGGCAGCTTGTAAACAGTGAGTAGCTAGAAGGAAACATAAATCCTTTGTTTGTTTTTTGAGACAGGGTCTGACTCTATTGTCCAGGCTGGTTTCAAATTTGCAGCAATCCTCCTGTCTCAGTCTCCCAAGTGCTGGGATTGCACCACATCTGGTTCCATTTACTCAGTAGGGAAACCACAGCCTCTGTGAGGCTAGTTGTTGATGTTACAGCTGGAGCCTCAACACTCAGCAGATCTTCAAACATGGTGCAGGGCTGCCAGGCACCAGGGTTTTGACAGCCAGCCCCTTTGTCACGGCACGCGCGCACACACACACACACACACACATTCACATACATACTCACATTCACACACTCACACACACACTCACTCACTCACACTCACTCACACACACTCACACACACTCACACACACACACTCACACACACACACTCACACACACACTTCACCTCTGTGCTTCAGTTTCCCCATCAGGTGGGTCCTTTCTTTTCTTTGAGGCAGTGTCTTGTTGTGTAGCCCAGGTCTGTTTTGAACTCTGGATCCTCCTGCATCTGTCTCCTCAGTGCTGGGGTTACAGACCTGTACTACTATGCTCAGATAGCGTCTTTATTTGTGGCGGAAAATCATATTCTTCTGTATCTCACATAAATGTGTGACCAATGCCGCCCAGCTCCCAGCCTTCCCTCACTGCTCTCCCTGCCATTTGGCTTTGGCTGGCCTAGCGACCCAGCACTTTTTCTCCTCTGAGGCCTGTCTGAGTGGCTGGTGTCTGTAATACTGTGGCTACAATTGCTTCTGTGTTCTTATCCTGTTCCACACATACACCCAAGCAGTCTGGGAGAAGATCAAGGCAGCGAGAAGACAAGAAGCTGGGCAAGAAGGAAACATTTCAATCCAGGCCTCTGGGAAAGTGTCCTGTTCAGGACATCTGGCAGCCTTCCTGCTGCAAAAGACCCTCAAAGCTTTGGACTGCAATACCTCAGGTGGTAAATGTTTCAGTTCCCGTTGAAGTGGGAAATGAGAAGAAGGCCCTAAGGTGTTCCAGTGTGACAGCTAAGTGGTGAGATGACCCGGAGGGCCTCTCCTTCCCATTGCTCATAAGAATTACTAGTTAGAGCCAGTCTGCAATCCCTGCACTTGGGAGGTGGAGGCAGGATGAGTTCAAGACTAGCCTCAGCCACACAGTGGGTTTGAGGACAGCTTGGCTTGCATAAGACCATGTTTTGAAGGAAACTTTCTCATTTGCTATTTGGGGAAACATGGACTGCTTTTGTAGTGCGTTCTTTTTAGCACTACATGTGGTAGGGAGTGTACCTGACATCACATCTATTTAGTTAACACTGTTTTTCAACTCTGCCTGTAAAGGGCGCCATTGTCTCCCTTTGTCAAATCCCATCTCCTTCACTACCTGGGGTGAGGTGGATGAGAGCTTTGATCATATTCTGCCTGGCACCCACAATAGTCTTCAGATCTAAGTGTAACTTAAAACTGAAAACCCAGGCTTAGGAAAGGGTGAACGAGGATGATGGTGGTGCCCACCTTTAATCCCAGCACTCAGGAGACAGAGGCAGGTGCATCTCTGTGAGTTCAAGGCCAGCCTGTCCTACAGAGCTAGTTCCAGGACAGCCAAGGCTATTACACAGTGAAAGTGAAACCCTGTCTTGAAGAAAAAAAAAAAAAGAGGTGGGCATGTCTGCCAAATTTTTACTTCCTTCAAATCAAAACAGGAACACTCCCTTGCCTGAACTCTCATTTCCTTGGCAGAGCTAAAACATATAACCTTCCTGGCATGTCAGCACCATCCCCACACACCATGAGCCCTACCTGAACCAGCTGGGTGCAGTACTGCAGATGTTTGACAATGGTGATGTCCAGGCTCTCATTTCCTGTGGTCAGTGGGAGCGGGCTTCCTGCCACACTGGTCCCTACGCCTGTGTCTTCAGTCAGAGCTTCGCTAAGGTGGCCCCTGGCTTCCGGGTGAACTGACCTGTAACTGTGAAGCAGAAAAGTGGGTGAAACTTGAGCTTTTTCTTTCTGTGCACAAACCACAGGCCAAGTTTACATGGTCCCCACTGAAAGCAGCCCTTCTCCGGCTTGCTCTCAAAGGCAGAGACACCTTTTGAGAACAACTTATTTCAGCTACATTGCCAATCTGCCAGGTATCAAAAGACCATGCAAACACAGGCTGCTGTTTGCTTTGCGAGCACAATGAGGGCTTTGTGAAGCAGTTTCCCCGAGAAGTCTTTGAACCATGCCCTCATTCTGCACTTGCTTCCCTTGCCCGCTCTGTGGCCGGGGGTCTGCCAGCTTCTCTGGGATCCAACAGTCCTGTGTTTGTGGTTTCCTATGAGTGATTCCATTTAAGAGTGATCTTGCAGCCCTTGCCCTGGCCTCATGCCAATTACCACTTGAAGACAAGAAGAAAGAAGCTCCTAGGAGCAGACACAGTGCTGCGCACAGTTAGACTCTAGAAGAGGAGTCTGGCTACGCAGTTCTCAGCTCAGTCTTGTTTCTCATGCTCTCTAAAGCCCGCTGTCACACTGTCTAAGGTTAGATCATCATGGACACACTAAAAAGTTCGATTTCATGTGTTATCTAAGTTTCATCCTTCCCTTCTCTTTTGAGACAAAGTCTCACATAGCCCTGACTTGCCACGTAGCTGAGGCTGGCCTTGCGTTCCTGAGTTCCTGTCTCTACCTCCTAAGTGCTGGGATTACAGGTAGATTTCACTATGGCAGTTTATTCTTTTTTCAATTGACATACGTTTTATTTATTTTATGGGTTATTTATTTATTTATTTTTAGTTTTTCAAGACAAGGTTTCATTGTGTAACCCTGGCTGTCCTGGATCTTATTCTATAGACCAGACTGGCCTCAAACTCACAGAGACCAACCTGCCTCTGACTCCCAAATGCTGGGATTAAAGGTGTGTGCCACCATGGCTGGCCATAGTTTATGGTTTATGAGTTTACATGTAAGTCTTATATTTATCTAGGTTATTTTATTATTTTATGATCTGAGCATATAGAACTTTCTTTTTAAAAATGAATTTTTAAGAAACATAACCTTCAATATAAGGGTCCTTGTAAATCAAAACCATTATACACCAAAATTAACCAGACCCAAAGTCTATGCATCTCAGTGAACTTCTATAGCATTCTGAGGCTGTGGAGTTTTACACTTTACACTATTAAATACATTTTTACTATTGAATATATTTTTATGCACTTATCCCCTCCCAAACTGAAAAATCTAAGAGAGTTAGAACAAGAAACACCTGCTGCTTTATTTGTTCTATCAAAGAATTGGAACCAAACTAGTTGCTCATCAATAGATGAATGGATAATACAAATTTTATATACATATATATTTGAAATATGTATAAATTTGATATATACTATTCAGCTCTAAAGAAAATCACAGTAAAACAAATATACTTAGGATGTACAATACTAGGTAAGGTCACACAATCTCAGAAAGAAAACAAACCACATGTTCTTCCTCATATGTAGGACCTAGCTAATAATATACATGTTCGTAAGCAAATACACATGTGAATATCATATAAAATGCAGAAAAAAGAAGAAGAAAGGATAAATATTAGGGCACAAAGAGGGACTGAATGAAGGTGGTGGACACAAGTTATAATGGAGGACTTAAAGCTAATTGCTTTTTTAGTCCTGAAAGTGACTTCCTGGGATGCTGTTGAAACAATCCATCCTGGCTGAGGGAATGAAACTACTACTTTTTATCTGTCTTTTCAATGTATACTTAAAAAATATTATGATGGTAATGTTGTAGACATTGTAATTTATAGTATGTTCTAACATTCAAAAGGATGGAACATTTCCCATTTGGAAAAGGAACTTATTTTTATACTTTATGATCATTTAGTATGCCTCTTCTATCAACTGATTCTGCTGGAACAAAAAGATTGCTTATTGCCATTTTGTGTTTATGACAGGGGCACATGTGCTGTGGTGTGCACTTGGAGGTCAAACAACAACTTTGTGTAGTTGAATCTGTCCATCCACATTTGGGTGCCGGGGATCCAACTCCATCTGCCAGACTTGTGCAGCAGGAACTTCACCCACTGAGATATCTTGCTGGTGTCTGCTGAAGTTTTGATGGGCATCATGTGAGCCTCAGAAAGACCCAGAATCTTCATAATAGTTAACCATCCTTTTCATAATTGTGTCACAATTTAGCATTTAAATTATTTGCATATTTTGGTCTATTTCTTTAGATTACCATATAAAGAAACAGGTTTACCTTGTCATCTCCATATCTGTGGGCCATTATACATTGTTTTCATTCATTCCATTTCCCTCCCCTGTATACCCTAATTTTATTTCTTTATATGCTCAGGTGGGATGGGATAATTGTGTCGTTTCATACATGGAAGGCCTGAGCAGCAGGGATGCTAACAAGAGTCCCGGTGCACACAGGCACACAGTGGCAGAGCTTTTGACTTTCCACCTCTTGCTCTGCACTGTCCACAAACGTAACACTGCACAGAGAACTTAGGAGCTTTGAGTGCTTGCCTCTGTTCACAGTTTCCACATAAGAACCATGCTCAGCTTGCATCCTGGCAGTTGGCACATATATAAAACATGTACACAACTCACACACGTGTTTGTGCACATACATGCACATACACTCTCAAGTCACACACTACACAGACACAGACAGTTCATATATACACATTCACATACACTTCCATACATAAGTGTATGCATGTACTTGCATACACTCTAATGGATGTGCACACATTACATATATCTCTTCCTATTGCTCCTGGTAACATACAGCAAGACCTGTTTGATTAGACAGATTTAAAATCAGTGTTCTGTAGAATGACAAAGGAGGTGGTATATTTGTTAAAATGTTGCAGTTTAGAGTTTTTACCTCATCTTTGTACACAACAGCAAAAGCTAACAGGTATATAGAAAAGTTTAAGTGAAGAAATATTTTGTAAATTCAGTCAAGCCAAAGAAATGAAGAACTATAAATTAGATATTACAATCTCTACATTTCATTTCCTTTTATTCCCAGTCTGCTCAAGGAATACATTTTTGTTCATATATATATATATATATATATATATATATATATATATATATATGGTCTTATTTTGGAAAAGGAAACCTATTAGCAACAATAGAAACCCCAAAAAATAGCACTTCATTGACAGCTCTGTAAGGTTGGACCCCCAAATTTGTTGTAACTTGAAAACCTACTTGTGTCACCTATGTTGTACCAAAGATAAAGCCAGAGGAGACCACCCCTTCCTTTGTTACGGGTTGGTGGATTCTTTCCTAGCAGGTGAATACTGGCCATTAAGTTTCTTTTGAAATCACAAAGTGGGCCTAGGATCTGGCTCTAAGAATACTGGCTTGGCTGTAGGAGGACACCTGATGGAGAAGGTGACGCATTTTCTGCCTGGAGGAACACAGATCTAATGGAGCGCCAACCATCCATCTTTACATTATCGGGGAACTCAGGCCGGGCTTTGGGAAGCACACCAGTGATTTCAACCTCATGCAGAGATGAGTTGAAAGGAGAGAGAGAAGGGCGCTGAGAAAACAGCTCAGCAAACTGAGGCATTGCAAGTATGAGGCACCGCAGGGATGGAGGGTCCAAGTCTGGCACCACTTGGCTTGGCTGATTTAGAATGTCCTGCATGTGGTCATTCTACACCTGCATGTGTAGGCCCCTCACCCTACACCACACATGCCGTGTACACAAACTAACACTGTTGCTTCCCCTTCTTTTTATTTATTTACTTATTTATTTGTTTGTTTGTTTATTTTTTGTTGCTTCCCCTTCTAAGAAATAAAAGGGACTTGTGTTCCCTATGCACCCTCCAACTGGTCAGCAATATTCAGAAGCTGTACTTGACAATAAAAAGAAACCGAAAGTCAAGTCATCCTGCAGGTGTGCCTAACCTTTTGACATTTTGGCACAGTATTGGCATCTACAAAAGTCCATCCCCAAGAACCATGAAATCTAGATACTAACAAAAGTCACAAAATAATGCCATAATATCTTAAGTAAGGTTTTGCTTTTTCGAGACAGGGTTTCTCTGCATAGCTTTGGAGCCTGTCCCGGAACTCACTCTGTAGACCAGGCTGGTTGAGATTCACCTGCCTCTGCTTCCTGAGTGTTGGGATTTAAGGTGTGCGTCACCACACCCAGCGTCTTTGTGTTGGGCTGCACTCATGGCTGTCCTGGGCCACCTGTGGCTGCATGTGGCCTGTTAAGGTTGGACATGACATCAAAGATTGTGCATTCTGGAGCTGTGTACCCGGTGGTCCCTGAAGTAACAAGGGGTGACTGTACCGGCTGTGACGGAGAAATACCAGCATTGTCTGTCTCTACACTCACCCCGTTTTCTCAGTTTCAGTGTCTGAGAACACAGAGTCCGCTCCTCCTCCTCCTCGGCAGGCCTCATCCCCGTCCTCTTCCTCTTCATCAAAGTCAGAGGTGTTGAGGAAATCAAAGCTTTCTAACGCACTCTCAACCGTCAGACTTAAGCTGGAGGATCGGCTGCGGCTGCCTGCCGGCTTGCACTGCAAAGGCAGAAGGTACCAAGGAGACCATCAACACACCAGGGGGACAGGCAGGACTCGTGGCACCCATGGGAAACGTGACACTTTCTTACATTTTTCCAAGCCTTTATTTTTGGTTGGCATTTAAAGTCTTCATCTTGAGCAAAAGAAATACAACCACAGAGAAAATGGCACAACAGTTGTGATTTGGTCTAAAAGAACCCAGAGGGAAGTACACAGGAAGATTAGGAGAGATACGACTGGAGGTAAGTCAGTCACTGGGGGTCGCTGGGGGTCACTGGGCGTCATTGAGTGGCTGGCAGATCTACTTCTGTTGGAGTTGTATTACTACAATAACAACTCTAAAAACTGACAACCTGAAGGTCTTGGGAAGCAGAAGTGATGTATTCTTTTGGTGTAGTGCTCATGACCAAACAGAACAGAATGGGCAAGCCTGGCACCATAGTGTTTATCTGCAGCCCCAGGCACGCAGGAGGCTGAGCCGAGAGCACCAGTTGAGCTCATGCATTCAAGACCAGCCTCAATATAGTGAGACTATCCCAAAACATTGTTTTTTAAATCAGCCCAGCAGACAAATTTTAAAAGTCACCGAATCATTGCTGACTGTTAACAGGAACTGGTCTCTACTGCCGAGTGACAGTCTGGAGTGCAGAGTGTCATGTCTGGAGCTCTGTGTCTAAAGTGTGCTGTAAAGAATTGACAACATGAACTCCAGAAAAGGAAACTGCTCAAATACACTTGCCCCAGGATGACTAGGAAGGGAGCCCTGCATCACCATGTTCCATTCAAATGCACTGAACACAAAGCAAATGAGTGACTTGGGCATGATGGGAAAATAACCCTGAGTCCCTTGGACAACTGTCTCGAAGGGAACAAGTCCCATCACCCCTCTGTCCAGGCCCTGGATTGTGGGGATAAGTTCCTTCTACAGCAGGTTGCAGGACACAGACCGAAGCATGGCTGCCTGGCAATGCCAGTGTCTGTGGCCTGGAGTCAGAGAGAAGCATATCCGCATATTCAAGAGGACTTGAGGTGGGTTGAACAGGACAAGGCCTGCAAAGAAGATGCACTAAATTTCCTCTGTCCGTCTAGGAGGGTCCCCTTGCTGATTCTTAGCACAAGGTAGGAAGGGCCTTGCGGGACTCTGTCTCAGATACTTGGGATGGCACAGAAGCACATGGGAAATGTCTTTCAGTCTTTTAAATCACGGTTGTCTCATTCACCTCAGTGATCTCCATCCGGGAAGCAGCATCATTGAGTCTCTGATCCTCAAGATGTTTAGTATCCTAGGAATGTGAAGGAGGAAGAAAAAGAGAGCTTTGTCTGGCGGAAGCCACTAGCCCCAAACCTAAGCTCCCAACAATACTGATGCTGTGATCTCAGGGAGAAAAGGGGAAGGAACCGCTGTGGACTTGGGCCGTCTTTTGAGTCTTCTTTCCTAAGCCAGCTATCTGTGTAGGAAGATGATGGCTTCAAATATTGGGCACAGCAAAAAGATAAGTGGGTGAAGGTCACTAGACAATATTGGGACAGTACTGGACAAGAGCAGGCGGAGCCAGAAAGGATTCTGAGATCACCAAGGTTTTATAAGATGGACAGCTAATAAGCCCAGTGTATCCTGATGAGCAGAGTCCCAGCAGTGCCTAAGACTGGGGCTGTTGAACCCTCACCCCTCTCACTGAAGATTAAACCCCATCACTGTCTTTCTTCAAGGCACCTTCTTTATTGGGACCAGTGTGCATCTCAGCTCCTTGAAATGAGCACCTCTTATTACATGGCAAAGCTGGACAGTCATGCAGATGAGATGTAAGGTGGAGTACCATCCTCCAAGCTTGAGCTCAGAGTGCATATTTTTGAGATGTGTCCTACAGTGTGCAGATTCTACATGCCCTTCTCTGTTTCTTAGAGGTTCTTTCTATAATGGAACTGCAGTGAAACTCAGAGGACCTGGAGTGTCAGACATCAATTATTATTTGCCTCAGGCACAAATCTTGTCTGGAGTTAGGTCGGTATAAGCAAATGGAAAGAAAGAAGATGGTGAGGAAGTCTTGAACTGTAGCTCCTGATGTCATTGCAAAGGCCACATAAAACCATCTTACAGAGGGACAAGGGGGCCTCTTATCGGACGGCTTTCATCTTGCTGCAGTAAAATTCTATTTGTTTATTTTATTCCTTGTGGAATCCTACTTGACAATATAATCAGAGCAGAGAAACAAAGGTTAAACACGTGGCCATGTAGTTTTGTCTTCCTATGCTGCATTTAAAAAGAATTCTACCTGTATGTCAGGTACAGATAAAGAGTTCTGATGCAGCTGTGGTGACATCATCATTAAGATATCCTGTTTAAGGGGCTATCGCCCCCCCCCCCTTGCCTTCACACCTCGACCCTGTTTGAGCATCAGGGACAATGACAATGTCTCTGTTGGAATTTGTAGTTCTCTAGATTCTAGTTATATGAGCAAAGGGGAATTGTTACTGAGTCCTTTCAGATCTCAGCTTGCTAGTTTGGGTAAATTCAGATGGGATGACCCTCAGCAAGTGTCACTGTGACAATGTGAGAAGAGAGAGTGGCTCCACACATTGGGGCTAACCTTCCCAACTTCCCTGGTATCCTTAGAAAGACCCCAACCGGTAGCATCTTTGAGACCATTATGAACAAACACCACTATTTCACACTTGGACTTGATAGGCTTGTGGAGGCAGTAGAGAGTATGTGTGTACATGTACGTGAGGGTATGCATATGTAGGACAGAGATCAGCCTCTGGTGTTCTTGAGGTGCCATCTTGTTTTGAGTCAGGGTTTCTGTCTGGCATGGAGCTCACTGAGTAGACTAGATGGCTGAATGGCAAATTGCAAGGGTCCATCTGCTTCTGGAATTGCTGGGATTTCAAGCCATGCTCAGCTTTTTCTATGTGGGTTCAGGCCCCCCTGCTTTCATGGCAAACTCTTCACTGTTGGGGTCCAGGCTGATCCAAGGCTTTCTCTGAGGCCCTGATGTATGGAGAAGAAATATAGCTCCCTGTCTAAAATGAGGAATATGCTTGGTGAGGCCAGTGGTGGCCTGGGGCCTGAGCCTTGGAGGAAGTGTGGCTTCAGATTCTGAGAAGCCAACACTTCGCCACTAAAGGGTTATGGTTACTAGTCCCAAGGCCACTACGTGCCCATGTGTGATGCACTTGAGACACACTGTGGGCAACATTGCTTTAATAACTTTCTGAAGACTTCATCTCTCTGTATTACAGTTTTCTGCTGACTCTGTCCCATTTTCACTGAATCTTATATATGAGATGCTGTACTTCTTAATAATACTTGCTTAGCATAAGGACTTCTGACCCCAACTTCTCCTATCCTTTTTACCCCCTGGTCCCCAGGTCCTTCCTCTCAGGAACCTGACTTATCTAAAGAAGGACCTGTTGGTCCAGGCTACTTGGTCTATGCCATCTTCCTGCTCCTAGACCTTTTATAGAGTTCTTAAAACAACTCCTAATTAAGTTAGCTAAGCTGATTTGTTGTTAGGAAAATAAAAATGGATAGATGTGAGAGAAATTAAAAAAAAATCACCCCCACTTGTGTAGCAGTTACACATCCGTCCCGTGACAGGACAAGATTTGCTATTGTAAATACAGTGTTGACTTATGATGCCTTTTCCCAAACCGAGTCAGATTTTCCAGAAAGGTACTTACTTTGAGGACATCATCCAAGTGCGTGACTTCTTGGTTCAGATCCTGGAACTCTTTGAACTGCTCCTTGTGTGGATCTAATGCAAGGAAGAGTCCATTGAAGGCATCTTCCAGGCTGCCGTCAAGAAAGGAGCGGCCAGCCTCAGATTCGCTACCAACAGAGCCTTCAAAGCAAAGCTTCTCCGTGGCTATGGGCACCTCGGCTGAGGTGAGCCTCTTCACTAGCTGTTTGGTGATGTTTCCTTCAAACGTGTCCAGCTCCACGGGCTTGAGCTCAGAGGCCTCATCCGATTCCTGCAGGAGCGCCTCGGCAACACTCTTCTCTAGGAACAGGCTCTCTGCCCTGGGCCCTGCTGCCACAGCAGGCTTCGGGGCCTCTTCTGTGTCACTCTTTGTGAGGGACTTTGGCTCGTGGTCCTCACCCAGGGAATTCCTGGAAGATGCTGAGCCGCTGTCCTCTGTACCCTCATTCTGTGAGGACAGGCTGCCATGGGCGAGCTCGGCAGGGGTGATGGTAATCTCTGGGTGGGCTGAGTGTGAACTGGACGGCGAGGTGGCTGAACTGGAGGTGAAGACGCAGTCTCCGTCCTGCAGGTCACTAAAGCTGAGGGACAGTGGCCTTTTCTCCTCTGCCGCCTGCCCACTCTCAAAAATGTCATCTGGCAGATTTGACTGTAGAGAAAGATATGACATGATATGTTTGGCAGGATTCATCTCCTGACAAGAGAGGAGGCAAATAAGATGACAACTCTTTAACGCTGGAGATTGATTTGATATGTGTGTGCATGCAGGCAAAGGAAAACACACCATTAAAAACTGTTTCCCATGTTGGATCTAGGTGGAAGCTCATGGTGCTATTCTTAGGTCTTACATTTTTTTGGATGCACTCTGAGGGTTAGTGGGGATGTTGCTTTTTTTTTTTTTTATAAAATCCAGGATCTCACAGTACTCAGCAGCCATCATTATGAATAGTACTACACATCTTTTTAATTATTATTAGAGAGAGAGTGTGTGTGAGAGTATGTGTGTGTGAGAGTGTGTGTGTATGTGTGTGAGTGTGTGTGTGTGAGAGAGAGAGTGTTAAGGGACAATTTTGTGGAGTTAGCTCTCTCATTTCACCAGTGACTGACCTAAGGTTGTCAACTTGTGTGACGAAGCACTTTTACCCACTGAGCTCCTCACTGGCTCCTCAGATTGAACTTTCAATGAACAGCTATTCCTCTCTGTATCCATTGACTCTAAACCTGCAGAGTGAAGCAACCGCAGAAGACACGCACACACCTTTCCTTGCCATTACTCACTACAGTAGGATAACTCTCTCCCCATCAGTTACACTGTGTTAGGAGTCATGTGTTAGCTCATAAGGAGATGATATGAAGTCCAAGGGGTTACAGAGGGTCTGTGTGATCACTACGGCCTGGAGAAACTAACGTAGGACAGAGGCTGTCCTCCTCCGAGCCCTGGAGAAAGAGGTCCTGTGCACTTCTTCCTCCTCTCTAGGCTGAGCTCCTCCCCCTACTTCCATGTTCTGTTACCCCTTACATCTTTAGTAAAGGGAAGAGGGAAAGTTTGGGGAACAGATAGGTGAAGAATCAGAATCCTAACTGCTGGGCCTTCACTGAAAACCTCTTAGGCTCCCTATTGAATACTCATGTTCTCCAAGAGCGCTGTGCAGGCTTGGAGAACTTCTGTGCACACACACACACCCCTCTTGACTGCATCAGGAGTGGAGCTGCTGGCTATAGCATAGGCTGGGTAGCCAAGGACAATTTACACTTATTTAAGTGGCACATACTGAGTTGTACTAAGTTCAGATGCCCTACTCACAGGGACTTATGGTTTATGAAGGACACACACCTATCAGCAGGCACCCCACAGGAAGGAGTTCAAAGTGGAGTACTAGGGCCTCGTGGCTCTAAAAGTGGCAGGGGGATTTGCATACAGCCAAACTTTCCGTTTCTACTGTCTACTTCATGACTTTGCAAACTACTCACACTATTCTGAAGGAAATTCACTGGGTTGTGCAACTGCATAAACCATTCCCTGTGCTTCCCAGGGCTGCTCACCCCCTCAAAACAGCTTGGTTTTTATGGCGCCAATCACAATTCTCGAGGCACAGAGATTTAACCCTTCTTGAAGCTCGACCCACAAACAGCTACCATCTCATAACACTGTGTACTCTGGCCTCCAGGTATCATAGTCCTCATATATAGAGACACAGGATTCCTTTTTAGCTCTTGACTAGATTTATTTCTACCTTGGTTGACAAAAGGTGCATTGGAAAGTATGTCAGGAGATCAAGGTTCTAGCAAGGGAAAAGATGGTTCTGGAACCCAGCCATGGAGATTGTTGAGGCAGAAGATGGGAGAAGGAGATAGCTATGAGTTCTGGAAAGAATGTGGGGCATTTGAAGGGCTGTGGAATGTATCAGGAATAACAGAAGGGGCGGAGTGGAGAGGGAGAAACGGCTTTAGACAGTATGGTGGGCTGTGCACAGATGCAAAGGCTGTCCCAGGGATCTTTGTATTTTCACGAACGCTATAGGAAGTGATCCACTGCTTCCTGATCTTGCTTAAATTATACTGTTTCATTTCTACCAACTCTCCCATGATGGTTGACTGTCTCTGTCACCTTGAGTAAATGAAAATCACTGTGGGGATGGTATACCTATGAGAGTGTTTCCAGAAAGGTTAAACTGAGTCAGGAAGGCCCACCCTGAATGTGGCAGCATTCCATGGGACAGGGGCTCAGACTGAGTGAAAGGAGAAGGCGAGTGGGGCACCAGGGTTCATCTGTTTCAAACACAATGTGACCAGCTACATCATATGCCTGCCACCATGCCTTCTCCACAATGTACCTTGTACATCGGGGTCCCAATTCAATCTTCCTGCATTAAATTGCTTCTTGTCAGGTATTTTGTCATCATTCCTGTAATCCTCCAAGGTACATCACATGGGCATGAATATCTGTCACATTAATAGTTATATGTACAAGTGCATCTGCCTATTGGTTTTTGGTATGACTTTTACACATTTCCCATACAGTTTTCCTATTTTCCTCTGAAACTACATGAGCATTTACATTGTCCTTTTCACTTCATTTTTAGTTCAGTTAGCTTAATCTATTTTTGAGTCCTTGAATGCCAGCTCTTGGAAGTCTGATGCCAGTGGTAAGCCTTTGGAAACTGCAGTGTCTCCCTGCCCTCATAGGAACTCAGTCCTCGGTGCTCTCCTTCTAACCCCCTTGCCTCCACTTTCTGAGCGCTTGGATCACAGGTGTATCACCACATCTGGTCATGTGGCACTGCGTTTAGAATCCAGAACTCAAGCACTCTACCAACTGAGCCACATCCCCAGCCCCAATACTATTTGCTTGTTTTTAAAAGGGAAAAATCTTGTTACCATGGAGAAAAATCACAGCATAAAACCAGGACTTGTTGGAAAAGAAGGGCGACAGAGTTACATGCATGACCATGCTTCCCACCCCAAGGACTGGACAGCTATCATCACCCAGCAAGACAGATAAGACACGAGAGTCATGCTAGGCTGCATGCAGGGCTCCCTGAAGTCAAGCACACCACTCTAGGGGGCCCACACTCACATAGAATTCTAGCAGGGCCTTGGGGTTCAGGCTGAGGGAAGGCAGGTCACCGACAGAGTGGTTGTGGTGCAACGTGGCAAAGAAAGTGTCTCTCAAGGCACTCAGGACAGACAGCCGCAACCATCTCTTCAGAAGTCAGGGCGAGATGGGGAAGTTAGTGGAAAGAAGCAGGCTAACAGGTTTCCTTTGGTAGTTAGCAGGGCTTGATGACATTCACATACACTTAAAAAGATTAATGTCAAAGAATGCTTGGAAAATCTACATGCCATTTCCCAGTCAAAGGTAAAGCAGAGTGAGGGAGAGACAGGCAGAGGAAGCCAGCCCTGGACTCGAGGGCCAGTGTATCCCAGAACACGGCTGCCATCGTCACCACACAAGTAAAGTGACTTCTAGGAATTACCCTCCTTCTTTCCATGTGTTTATGTGTGTGGCACACATTCGCGTACTGACCTACGTGCATGTTTACACGCACAGGTGAGGAGTCCCAAGGTTGATATCAGGAATCTTTCTTGCTTGCCTTCTCAGCTTATTTCCCAAGGCAGGCTCTCTCAATCAAACCCAGAGCTCAAAGATATGGCTAGTCTCACAAGCCAGCCGTCTCTGGACATCCCCATCTCAGCTTTTCCAGGCTGGAATTATAGGTGGACCATCACACCTACCCGGCATTTATGTATGTTTTGGTGATCCAAACTCTAGTCCCCATACTTGCATAGCAAGCACATTAACTGTTGAGCCATTTCCCCTGTTCTTGAAAATCTCTGGCATGGGTGTCAAACATTTCAAATTCTACCGGAACTCCCAGCCTTATCATTTCTGTGCCAGAAATCACATTGAACTTACGAAGAAGGAGTGGTCTTTGAAGGTAGGGGTTTCTGGGGTGCCCTGGCTGTACATGGACATCCTCCGCTGGATAGCGGCTGTCTTGTTCCCAGGGCCCGATGATGGGGTTGTGTCCTCCACGTCAAAGGGACTGTAAAACAATAGGTTCTCAGGTCAGCATATCTATTAAAATCACCTGTCATCATGAGATGGTGGAAGACAGTTTCTCATTGTGACAACATATTCTTAGATCAGTGGGAACAGAGCTGGTTGGATCAAACTAGGATGCCAGAAAATATAAAGAAAAGAGAGAGTGTAGCAGTTTGGGTGGGCCACTGCTCCATGCTGATGCCATGGTTCACACACCAGCCCTGAACAGCTTTAGCCATCAGCACCTGCTTTTCTATGATGAACTTGAAAAAAGGAACTTACTACCAAGTGATTTCCAGGTTCAGTTTGATGGTACCAAGGTCATTGATGTCCACAGCCACCACCTGGGGTCGGGCTGCAAACAGCTCTTTGGTCTCACAGGTCACACTGCCCACCAGGATGTGAGTTGCTAGTCCTTTGAGTTCGGTGACCTGGTAGAGAAGGCGAGAGCAGAAGAGGAGGAATAGTCTGTTTTCATTCTCCCATAGTCAACTGATTACTTATTTCAGGAATACATCTGACAGGCGTTTTTTTAAAAACGAGACTTTGTTACAGTTACTTTGCCTCCTGTCGTTGAGAGCAGCTCAAGTTATCAGTGGCTTAACACAGACAGAAGCCTATGTATGGGATGGACGGGCTCCACCCAGGCATCATTGGGCGATAACACCAGAAAAGATAACAAAAGGTGACAACACCACTGTACCTTGATGGAAATGAGCCCAACTATGAGGGGCAGGAAGACGGTTTCTTCTCCATCCCAGCTCTGTTTGCCATTCACTTCTATTTTGCCCTTCAGTTTCCACCTCTGCCGGCCATACTTCATGAAAATCTGCAGTGAAGACATTGGGCAGCCTCATGCTCCACCAGATGCCACCTTCTCTCCCAGTCACCAGGATCCAAGGGCCAGGAAGTAGACACCTGCCCTTCATTCCTCTTCCCACCCCCACTCTGGGTTCTCAGTGGAGCCCGTGAGGAGTCTGGAGGAGGGTTAATTGATTGCTTATTTACTTGAAACAGGGTCTCACTATGTAGCACCCCTGGTTAGCCTAGAACTCACCAAGTAGATCAGGCTGGCCTCCAAACTCACACACTCTACCTGCCTCTGACTCTAGAGTGCTATTGTTAAAGGCACACTGCCAGCACATATAGCCTACTCATGGGGTGCAGTCTGCTTCTCTAGCTGAGGGTATGGACTTTTCTTTAGTAAGAGCTCATAGCAGTGGCTGGAGAGTAGGCTCAGTGGCTAAGAGCCCTTGTTGCTCTTGCAGAGGACTGAGGTTTGGTTCCCAGCACTCACATCATGGCTTGTAACTACCCTAATTCCAGTTCCAGGGGATCCAATACACTCTTTTGGCCTCTGCAGGCACCAGGCACACACATGGTGTACAGACATACATGCAGGCAAGCACTCATATACATAAAATAAAAATAAATCTACATAGATATTTTAAAAAGTCATAACCAGGTGTTGGTGGCACATGCCTTTATTCTCAGCACTTGGGAGGCATAGGCAGGCAGATCTCTAAGTTCAAGGCCAGTCTGGCCTACAGAGTGAGTTGCAGAACATTTAGGACTACACAGAAAAGCCTTATTTTGAAAAACCAAAAAAAAATAGACAAAAATAAAATAAAATAAAAATAGGTCACAGCCTTGTGTCAGTTTGCTCACGTGTGTGAGACTTGTCTTTGTCCATCCTACATGCATCCCCACCTCAGCCATCAGGACTCCTTCTCTGCTGACTCCAGCTCCTTTAAAGTGACAAGAATCATCTCCAATTCTATTTGCACCCAGAAGGGAGAAATAAAGACTTCTTCCTCTGAATGAGGGAGGCGACACTGGTAAAGGTTAAGACCTTCCATTTCCTAGCAGAGAACAGCTGGAGTGAATGACCTCAGAGCCTTTGTAAGGAGATGATGAAATATATATTGTCTTTTGAAAAAGGAAAAGACAAAAGGCCTTTTTACTTCACAAAGGTCTCAGTTGTTTTGTTTTTGAGATACAGTCTTACTATGTGTCTTGGGCTCTCTCTCTCTTTTGGTTTTTCAAGATAGTGTTTCTCAGTGTAGCCCTGGCTTTCCTGGATCTCTTTATAGACCAGACTGGCCTAGAACTCACAGAGATCCTCCTGCCTTTGCCTCCAGAGTGCTGAGATTAAAGGCGTGCGCCGCCACCACCCAGCAAGGTTCAAGCTATCTCAAACTGACAATCTCTTCAGGTGTGAGTTACCATGCTGTTTATAAGTACATTTTTATAAAGAAAACTATACTCAGGTATGGGTCATGTCCAGCCTGTGGACATGGTCAGATGATATTGTCACACACAAAATTCACACTCAAGAACTGTGCAATTGAGTTATCAAAAATTTCCACACACACAAAATTATCTCCTAAGGTCTGACATTATTATTTTGTGTCAGGTCACATTCATATTCTTGGCTGCACGCAGTCCACAGGCTATGTGAGCTGGACATGCCTGGTAGCTGTGTTTCTTTTACAGCCATAAGACTTTGAATCAGTCATGATCCTAGATTAGATCCTGGATCAGAAAGGAAAACGGCTACAATGTAAAATTTTGGGACACTTGGGAGAATATGAACTGTAGACTACCAGATGGCATTTGCTGAAGAGGCAAAGCTAAATTTGCAGGTGTTAAGGATTGTCTGGGGCTTATGTGTTGGGAGAAGAGCTTGGGATGAAAGGTTATGATTGGCCGTGAGCAAAGTAACATCCTCATGGTAATGACGGAGTATATGGAACTGCCATGTTCCAAACGTGGGAGTTCTTCGATAACCTCCGAACTTTCTCACTGGCTAAGACAAATTAAGCAAAAATAACTGAACCCAGGCCTGGTTGTCTGTGCCTGACATCCTAGCTGATCCTGAGGTAGCAGGATCACAAGTTCAAGGCTAGCCTGAGAAACTTTATGAAACGCTGTTTCAAAAACAAAGAGTAGGGGTGGAGAAATGGCTCAGCCATTAAGAGTGTATATTGCTTTTGCAGAGGACCTGAGTTCAGTTCCTGCACCCACATCAGGAGGCTCACAACTGCCTGCAACTCAAGCTCTGATCTCTGCAGGACCCTCACTCCTGTCCATATACCCACACAGACGCAGACACAGACGCAGACACAGACACACACACACACACACACACATACACACACTTTTTTAAAAAAGTAAAACATTGACTGAAAATGTAGTTCAAGGTAGAGCATTCGCTTAGCACGCATAAAGTATAAAGTTTTGGGTTCAGTTCCTAGTACCAAAACAGCAGCAGCAGCAGCAACAACAAAAACCAAAACTACAGCCAGCCCCTGCCCTTCAAGCTCCCAATGCCAACATGTAGGCCAACATGTTACTTACTTCGTATTGATCTCCAGGACAGAGGCGAGCAAAGCCAGCCAGACCTGTAAGCAAGAGATTGGGCTGTGAGGTACAGAACACATTTCCCTTCTTTAGAGGCCCAATTTGTCATAGGTTAAAAACTCAACTATTGGTGGCACACGCCTTTAATCCCAGCACTCAGGAGGCAGAGACAGGTGGATCTCTGTGAGTTCCAGGCCAGCCTGGTCTACAGAGTAAGTTCCAGGATAGCCTCCAAAACAATACAGAGAAACCCTGTCTCGAAAAAACAAAAAACAAACAAAAAACCTCAAGTATTATGTGAAACTGATTTGGGACCATCTTTGGAGAATAGCCTTTGCAGGGGATGTAGGGGGATTCCACCATCAAGGAGAGAGGGGCACATTCCTTGATAGGGTGGTTGGGAGGGGAGATTTCCAGGACTGGGGAGGATGTTGGGTGGTTAGAACTCTGTGTACCTTTGGCAGATTTCAGGATCAGGGCAGCAGGATCAGAAAGATCTATTCTTCCACTGGCCAAAATATTCCCATGAAAATAAACTGGCCTCTTGTTTTTCCTTCTGTCCCAAGATCTGTGACACTAAATACCTCCCTTGTGAGTCCTTGTCCCCACACCCACGATCTGACTGAACACACTCACTGCTCTGTTTTTCTCATTCTTTTTACACAGAACAATGATGCCACTGTTTATGGTTATGAAATTGCGAGAAATAGACTATAATGTACACAAAACTGGTGGTTAAGAAAACAAACCAAGAGGCTGGAGAGATGGCTCAGTGGTTGAGAGCACTGTTGGTTCTTCCAGAGGACCCAGGTTCTATTCCTTACATGGCAGGTCACAATTGTCTGTAGCTTCAGGATGTGACACACTCACACAGACATGCATGCAGGCAAAACACCAATATACACAAAATAAAAATAAATTTAAAAAAGAAAACAAACCAAATCCACCCAACCAACCAACTGCCAACAGCCTACACACTCAACAGAAGAGGGTGCCTTAGTTAGGGTTACCATTGTTGTGATGAACACCATGAATAACACAAATTGGGGAGGTAAGGGTTTTATTTGGCTTAAGCTTCCGTGTCACTGTTTGTCATTGAAGGAAGTCAGGACAGGAACTCAAACAGGGCAGGTACTTGGAGTTAGCAGCTGAATCAGAGGCCCTAGAGGGTTGCAGCTTGCTGGCTTGCTCCCCATGGCTTTCTCAGCCTGCTTTCTTATAGAACCCAGGACCACCTGCCCAGGGATGGCACCACCCACAACAGCCTAGCCCCTTCTCCATCAGCCACTAATTAAGAAATGCACTACAGCTGGATGTTATGGAGGCATTTTTCCCAATTGAGGTTCCCTCCTTTCAGACGACTCTAGGCAGTGTCAAGTTGACATAAAACTAGCTAGCACAAGGTGGCTTTCGTGCCCCTGTGCCTTCTGCTAGTCATTTGGAAATTGATTGCTCCCCTTGAAGTCTACTGTGCACCAGTCTGGTTCAGCAGCAAAAACATCTTATCAGAATAGATGGTCATCATCTTGGGGCGGCTCAGGAGTTCCAGCTTTGGTCACTCTTTGCCTTCTTCCTATAGAAATTTACTGAAAGCCTACTGTGTGAGGCTGAAAATATTTATTTGCCTTTTAATTTCCTCAGGGAAAAAATTATGACAAAAATTCCAGTGAAAAACTTAGCACAGGTGCTTTTCATTTACAACCTTTGAGTCCTGGAAGGTTGCTCCTTGTGTGTTTGTATATGCTTGTGCGTGTACACATGTGCACGCGTGTGCCTGCTTATGTGGAGGCCAGAGTTCGATGCCGATACTGATGCTGTCTTTCTCGATTGATTCGTCCACCTTAGTTTTTGAGACAAGATCTCTTACTGAACCTGGAAGTTGCTGTTTGGTTAGACTGACTGGCCAGAAATCACAGAGACCCCACTTACCTGTCTCAACTCCCCCCTGCCCCCGTCACTCCCACCTCTGCCACCAAGATGGGATTATAAATGCATGACGCTATGCCCAGCTTTTTACATGGATTCTGCAGATCCAAACTCAGATCCCTATGCTTGGTTCATGCTGTCTTCCTGCTTTGGCCTGTGTTTCTAGCAAACCACATTTTACTCATGAAACATAACAAGGACGATGTCACACTGTGTGTTCTACCTTCAATGAATGGCTCGATTAATAGACTGTGAGAATCTGGAATGAACGAATCTGCTTCCCATTAGCCTATGGGCATAGTTATGAATAAGATTTATAAGTCCAAGGAAGCTTTTTGCCATCATTCGTCAGTAGATGGCAGCAATTCACCAACTTGGCATGTCCTTTCTTGGGCGAGCCCATCCATCGAGGACCAGCTCTGGCTAACAATTAGAAGCTAATGAGCCACTTAGGAGGACTCACTGTAATAAAAGCAGAATTGGAGGAAGCTATTTTCATGAGTAGTTCTGGAGCGCTTAGGCTCCCCACACCACAAAAATACATCTGAAAGAAAACATCGCAGGCTGACTCTTATGAATCCAAAGCCTGATGTGATAACTCTAACAAAACCCAGTTTATCCTTTGAAAACCTGCAGATTATTAGTTTGGGGTTAATCTGCTACTTGTTTACGCATGCAGTGACAACAGGGACACTGCTTAAAAGAAGTGGACCATGTACCATGCTAGATAAGGTGAGGAAACGGGGGAGAGTCCTTTGACGATCCATCCCCCTTCTCAAAATTACCAGAAATTTCCTATGTGAAGACCTTCATGTGAGAGGGAAGGCTGTGGCCACGATGGAATTGAGACCTCACTGCCCATGTAATGAAAGCATTTTCTTGGCATTCCATGCAAGGCGTCTCCCATCCTCTGGTGACAGTGACAGCAGTAAGGAGGAACCAGCTCCAGGGAATGCTTCTCAAAGTTCCCCAGGTGATGGTGTTCATGGTACAGGCTACAGAGTGAGCACCTGGGCTGGGGCAGTGGCAGTGACAGCCTGTCTTTGGGGCCTGGCAGGGTTCTTTCAATTCTGGCCCGCCGCCCTGCTGGCATTTCTACAGCTGTAGGAAGCTCAATGTTTTCTCAGCTGTGATGGTAACTGGTACGTCAGCTAAGAAGTTTTTATTATGGCCACCCAGGAACCATCCCTGGGTTCTCTGTAATAGCATACCTATATAGGGGACTTATGTATTCTCGTGGGTCTTCCGTCTTTTCAATCTTTTAAACTTGCTCCCATGTTGCTAGTGTAACAGCTCTTTCACAATCTGAATGGAGGGAAGGATGCTGTCCCAGTGTGACTATATGAATATGAAATATCCCCAGGCTTGCGTTTGAACATTCAGTTCTGTTTTGAGAGGTCATGGAGTTTTCAAGAATTGGGAACTAACTGGAGGGAATCAGACACTGGAGGGGGAGTCTTAAGGTTTATAGCCCGCTGGCTTCCAGCCCCCCACTTTGCTTCCTGATCCAACTGGATGTGAACAAACCCTTGTCTCAGCTGCAAGTCCCTCCAGCTACCACAGCTCCCCCTCCCACAGTGGACTGAATTCCCCCAAACCGTAAGCCACAATGAATCCTTTCCCCTTAAGTTAGCTGCTGCCTTAGGAGCGTTTATCACGGTGGAGAAAAGTTGCTGATTATACAGACACACAGCTGTAGAGCCTCGCAGCTATAGAGCCACATGCTACACAGCCACACGACTGTACAGTCACACAGTTACCCACCCTGGCTTCCTGAGCCACTGACTTCCTTTGCTTAGACATGGTTTTGTCATATAAGTCCTCCATTGTTTTCCAGTTCTGCCATGACCTTCCTAAGAGTGTTACCTCCTACTTTAAGGTGAATTGCCAAGTACCTGGCAGCTGCGTGTCTTAACACAGACCTTCCTGTTCTATGGGCAGCTTTCTAGCTCACCAGAGGCTGGCCTTGCCCTACAAGCCATGGCACCTAGCTAGCATTGACCTCTGGACACGTGTGCACTTGGAACTCACTTGCGGTGAGGTAATAATTGGGGGAAAAAACCCAGTTTTCTGTAAAAGGCTGCAATTCTGGTTCGGAGTCCTGAATTATGTTCTCCAAAGCTGGGGTCTCAGGGGTTTATGGCCTAAACAGCTCCCACAGCATTTTGATAGAGCATGCAGGTCACAGCACCCTTCCTGTCAGCGTTGGGCAGCCCCTCCCCCACCTTCAGGGGGGGACTTTCAGCTTATTTGTTTTAAAGTTACTTTAGGAAGCTCCCTCCACCCCCAGTCCACCAAGCCTCCCCTCAATGGAAGCCTCTTTTAGAAAATATTTTTTTGAGACAGTGTCTAACTCTGAAGCCCAGACTGGCCTCAAACTCAAAGCAGTTCTCCTGCCTCAGCCTCAAGAGTGCTGCAATTACAGGCATGAACCACCAAACTTGACAATTTTCTTTTGAGACACGTTACTACATAGCCCAAGCTGGCTTTGTGCTCAGACACTCTGACCTCTGCCCTCAGCAACCCCTCTCTCTATCATGAGCTCAGGCTTCCATAGCAGTCTGGTCATTTGATTGGTTCAACTGTCCATGTAGGCCCACTGAGTGAGGATGTGCTACTCAGAGGTCCCCCTCCCCACGGAAACGGCTGTGGAATCCAGGGCAGGGGCCATGAGGAGGCAAGGGCAGGTGTGCATAGCTCAGTAGCTCTTGCCCCTATGTCTTTATCAGCATCACCGGGACAACTGCCCTTCATGTTGTAGTTAGTTGTGGGGTTGAGCAAAAGGGAAGTGTGGGAGGGTGTGTCGGGAGGAAGTTAGGGGTTGCCAGATCTGACAATGTGATGCAAGTGGCTGGTTTTAGATATAGGGGTGGGGGTTGGGGGTGTCTCCTAATCAAACACAATGGACAGGAGTGGCTCATGGGAATCTAGGATTTCTTGACTTAACAGCAGAGAGTTCTTCTTTTGTGAAGGGAGAAGAGGATGGTGTGTGTGTGTGTGTGTAATCACACGTTCAGTTTCTAGGTTTTTTTACATTAAGAGACTAGAAGTGATAGAAATTGAGTTTAGTGCAACCAAGGAAGAAGATGAGTAAATTGGGCAGAGGGAGAGCAGAGCAGACAGCTCTGGCATTCACTGCCTCAGCCCAAGGCACTGGTTCACTGCTGGTGGCCAGGATATCTCTACCCATGGCAGAATCTCAGTATCATTTCCTTACTACCTCCAGGCCCGAGATGTAGATCATGTGGATGGTGGGTAGTCCCTTTCCACTACCAAGCCTTTTGGGTGCCCATGTCTTATGGTGAAGGGGGGTCCCTTTTCTAGGCATAAATCAACATCTGAGCAATGGTTAATAGTGTCTGCTCAATTGTTAAAACTTCTTCATAAGGTGGCATTAAGGTGGCCATGTACTGGCAGCTGGGACAGCTAATTTCCATGACCAAATCACTTGAATAAAAAATACCTAGAAGACTGGGTATGATGGTGGATGTCTATAGTCCTAGCATTTAGGGGGTAGGGACTGGAAAGAATATCAAGAGTTCAAGGTCAGCCTCAGCTATATAACAAATACTACATGAGACCCTGTCAAAAAAGAAGGAAAGGGAGGAAGGAAGGAGAGAGAAAGGGAGGGAAGAAGAAAGGCAGGAGGGAGGGGGAGAGGGAAGGAAAGAGGGAGGAAGGAAGAAGTGAGGAAGGAAGGAGGGAGGGAGGAAGGGCCCTGAGAAACCATGAGGCATGCATTAACCTTTGGGTGCATCTGTGAAGGTGTTTCCAGGGTCCATTAATTTAGAGAGTAAGACCCACGCTGAATGTGAGTGGCCACACCCTGCAGTCTGGGGTTTTGGACTGAATTAAAACAACAACAGCAGCAGCAATAAAGGAGGTGAGCTGGGCACTAGCATTGTCCTTTCTCTGCTCCTGGCCCTGTGAAACTCGAGAGGTCTCAGCTGCAGGCCCCCACAGCCATGAGCTCTTTTATACCCTCCCTGCCATGATCAACTTTTGCCTCCAGGCCATAAATTACAGCAAACCCTGTCTCCCCAAAGTTGTGCTGGGTGACCTCACTCTCTGTGTGCTGTCCTGCATGCCAGGGCATATGGGCAGCCCATGTGTCAACAGTGACAAAGTAACTTCACTCTGTATACTAGCCCACAAGGAACCTGGATGCTGACAAAATCATCCTGACAGTTTAGAGACCCTTAGGACCTCCAAGCTGGCTGTATAGATTTTGAACTGCTGAGGGAGGGTAGACCCCCGAGTGGTTTAAAGCCCCGACTCAGGTGGAGATCCACGCAGAAGCAAATGGACCTAAAGAGCTGGAAGGTGCAGGTGTCCAGCATGGGCTGCGTGTGTGTGTGTGTGTGTGTGTGTGTGTGTGTGTGTGTGTGCACTGCAAGTGTGCCTGCTGCCTGAGGAGGGCATCAGATCCTGTGGAACTGGAGTTGCCAGTGGTTGTAAGCGGCCATGTAGGCACCGGGACCAAACCCAGGTCCTCTTCAAGAACCACTGGTGTTCTTAACTACAATGCCATCTCTCTAGCCTGGCCCTGAGCCTCTTTGAAAGGATGTCTCGCCTTTTCACTCTGCTTGTTGCAGAATGTAGGTAAGGTAATAACTCTCATTAGCAATCTAGGGATCAAACTGTTAAGCAAGCAACCAAACCGAGAGAAAGGACTGCAGGGGCTCAGGCCGCTCAGTTGCAGTCAAATGGGTCAAAACATGGGAGAGAAAAGGACTGAATGGCACTGTCCCACAGCCCTGACGGCCACTGTGGACACTGCCATGTAAGTCTGACAACATCTAGGTGGAGCTCTCTTTTCTGAAACCAGGCTTCCTTTTTATGCTGAAGATGCTGTAGTGTAAACCAAAGATGCTTCTTGAACATTCTGTCCTAAATATTGCAGACTCACAGAAACATGGGAGAGAAGGAACAAATGAAATGATTATGTGACAGCAAGCCAGACATAGTGATACAGGCCTATAATCCTAGTGCTTGGCAGGCTGCGGCAGGAGGATTGCCTTGAGTTTGAGACCAGCCTGAACTATGTTGAAAAATTTTGTCTTAGAAACAAAAGAGAAATATCCTAAGTAGACAAATAAACAAATGAATAAATGACAATGGGAAAAAACCAACAGGCAAGTCTAGAATGTAGAACAGGGGTTTTGTTTTAGATTAAAGGGAATCTGTCTGACAGCTAGTTATAACACATGGACCTTGTATGGGTTCTAATTGAAGCAAAGCAACTGTAGGAAGCACTTTTGAGACAGCTGGGGATATCTGCAGTGAACCAGGTTAATGACAAAGGCTTGTTAATTTTGTTAGATGTGACAATGGGACAACAGGACACTGTGGTTACATAAGAAGATGGCCCTATTCTTTCAGACCTGTTCACTGAAGTTTACAGGCACTGGCTGACATACTTGGGTTTTACTCCTCTGGAGTTTTCTACTTCATCAAAGGGGAGAGAAAATGTAGCAAATGTGATTACTGAATCTTCAGGACAGATTGTGAGGGTTTGCTGTTTCGCTTAGTCTATTCTTGTGCCTGTTTGACATAGTCCTACAATAAACACCATTTCAAATGTGAAGGCAAGACTCAAGAAGAGACTCATCAGAAACACCAACATGAGTGGAAGGGCTGAGTGTGGGTGACCCTATGTCTCAGCAAGGAAAACACAAATAGCATCCTTCTCAGGAAGCACTGTGAAGATGGCTCCTTCCTCTCTCTCTAAACAAGGAAAGATTACCTTTCATCTTGATGGAGAATTCTCCCAGCAGACTCTCCAGCTCTGCTTCAATGGTGCACATGTTCTGCAAAGAGCATAGGAGATGGTGTTAGATCCACCATGCCCCACTACAGCTAAGCACAAGGCATTTCAATAGTGACATCATGAACAAAAGGCATTTTCCTGTTGGCCATGAATACACAGGACAGCCCCTGAGACGCAGCTAAGCAAGGCTTCCAGTGCACAGGATAGCTGGGGCTTAGATGAACAGGTTAAATGATACCAAAAGAGTCAGACAAATAGAGAATATGGGATGTTTCATAAGGATGGACTGTACAAAAAGAAGTATTGTGATAGGGAATAAGCCATACAAATCACATAGGAAGAGATCCATGCTCCATGTTAAACAAACTGGGTCAGCCATTCTATAGCGTATGCCTGTTTCATAACAACATGTATTATACCACATACACACACACACATACACACACACACACATACACACACACACGGGGAGGGGGAGAGCACAGGAGTTCAGTTCTGCTCAAGTGAGGCAGACTTCCTAATGTGATGTCATGAAGTCCCAGGATGACCCCGTGAGTCTAGTAGGGGTCCCCTCCTCACTGTAGTGCTAAAGGAATGAGAGGCTGAAGGTTACAATGCCTAACTACACCCATTCTACTGCCTCAGTATTTGATGACCTAATGAGAGCAATTAGAGGCAAACTTAAAGTGCCACAGCCCCAGTCTGTCCCTAGTGAGGGTCTCCTGCAGCTCAGTTGGGCCAAGATTTGGAAGCCTCCATACTGTAGTAAGCTGCAGTGTCCACTGCTTCTGCAAGCGCCTTCCTCATGGCCAGCTTCACTGAGGCTCAGCCTGTGTAAGTGGTCTTTCTGACGAAAGCGAGGCCACTCAGTGAACGCGGGCAGGCACAAGCATCAGGTAGCATTAGGAAGGCCTGAGGCTTCTTATTTGTTTCTTTGTTCTGCTCAGCACCTTCACTCTTGTGGGACACCGAGAGAATGCCCTTACCTCTCTTGTCAGAAGTTCTCAGTACTTCAGAGAGCTTAGCAAAGCTGGGAAGGCAAAGCATTTCCTCAGGTCTAAGCTCAAAGGAGCTTGAAAGCTTTGAAAACAAAATCTCAGCTTCCTCAGAGCCTGAGGCCTTTCTGCAAGAGAACAGTTGCTAGACATTCCAGATGTGTCATCAGACATGTTGGGACGGCTACTATTGTCTCAAGAACTCAGGGCCCACTAGGTTAACAGCTGAAGTCACCCACAGTTGGAACACAACCAGGGCTGAACACCGTTACATATAGGAAAATACTCTGAGACTTGCTGCTGTGATTATGGTGTGATAAAATCACTTATGATTTTCACTGCTTTGAAACTGGAGTACTTATTAGGGCTGTTGCTGGATCCTGTAATTCTGATGTGCTCAAAAAGCAGGTCATAGGGTTGGAGAGTTGGCTCAGTGGTTGAGAGCAAGGCTGTTCTGCCAGAGTATCCAAGTTCGGTTCCCAGCATCTACACTGTGACCCATAACCACCTGTAACTCTAGTTGCAGGGGATCTAGGGTCCTCTCAGAAATCACTTTAATGACAGAGCTATCTCCATAGCCCTTATTTATTTATCTGAGACAAGTTCTTGCTGTGCAGACCTAGCTGGTTTGGTAGTCACTATGCAGCAAATCTCCTGTTTTAACCTCTGAGTGTTGAGATTACACTATGCCCAGCTTATTTTATGAATTAAACATATTCTTCTGAAAAGGGGGATTTAGGCAAAGAAGAGCCTAATGTTAAATCATGAAAAGAGCAAGGCTTGGTTCAGACAATGGGCAGCCCTGTGGTTGGAGCATAAAGGGATCCACCCTGAAGCAGAGACTTGCTCTGTGAATTGTTCACCAGGCCCTGCTTGAGCCATGACCTCACGGGTGACATCTGATCTCTGAAGAAAGTCTCCAGGGACAGTGAGACGTGCTGCTTTAATAATTCAGCCTGTTCATCAAGGGCATGCATTAGTGTTAGGTGATCCCTAGAGGGGTGAAAACCTCCCAGTTTGATGCTTGGGCCCCAGGGACCATCAGAAAACAGGAAGATACATTTCTGTTCATGGTTCTTTATCTTGGATAAAAATTTCTCATATACACATCAAAAAAACAAGCAAACAAACAAAAAACAATAACAAAACAAAACTGTAGGCAGGATATATACCTATATCAATACCATACTTGGGCTAGACATCTCAACCTGGGGTTTACTCTTCCTTCAGGGCACACCACAGTATTTGGAAGTGGATTTAATGATGGCATGTTAGGCATCATGGCTCAGTTTACACAATTCCACCATTGTCTGGCTTGCTTGTAGTCCTCCCTCACCCGTACTAGGGGAAGAGACTCAGGTAAATAAATGCTCTACTGCTGACCTACTTTCCCAGCACTTTTTTTCTTTTTTCTTGTTTGCATTTTGAGCCACAGTCTCAAATGGCTTTGAACTCACTCCGTAGCCCAAGTTAGCCTTGAACTTGCAATTCCCCTCAAGTGCAATTCCCCACTTCCTGAGTAGCTGGGTTTACAGGCCTGTGCCGGCAGACCTGGCCGCATTTGTGTGTATTTTCTAGAGTATGGAATGTGTTTGTGTGCTGCTGCTCGCCTTTTTTTCTGGCAGTGACTAACAGGTCAGATCCATCCATGAACAGAGTCGGTAGGGATTACCTCTGTGTACTCCTTATAGCTGCGGTTGATCTCCGACAGACTCTCCCGGGCAGCCTTGCTGGCAGGGGACGCTGCAAATGCTTGCTTCATTTTGCTGGCACCATCTTGGAGGCGCCGTTGGATACAATAGGCTTCATAAAGCTCATCTACCTGTTGGAACCCAAACAGGAAAGAGATAAATAACCGTCACACTTGGGAGAAGTCCCACAGGCCCTTGTCATGCCCTTAAAGACACACTGTCTTTCTGTTCTCAAGAAGCAGAGTCCTACCAAGGGTCATTCCGTTAGACCAGTCACTTACTTTCAGCACTACGGAGCACATTTGTTTGTTTGCTTCAAAGCAGATTTTGCTCGGATCCTGTTTCTAAATTACATACATGCTTGTGTTCAGAGTTCTCCCTTGAATGTATAGCTCAGGTTTTCTCAGCTAAACTCAAGGCCAGCAAGCCCCAGCCACCCTCCTATCTTGGAACTTGGGTTACAGGCATTTTAGGGATACCCAGCTTTTGGCATGGGTGCTGGGTTCCAAACCCCATTCCTCGTGATTGAGTGATTGTGAAACAATCTTAACCACAGAACCATTTCTGTAGGCCTGGAGTAAGGCTTTTTGTTTGCTTCTTTGTTTTTAATTCTTAATTACGTGCCTATATACTGTGTGTATCTATGTGTGGGTATGTGTACTTGGTGTACTTGAGCGCAGGTGCCCTTGGAAGCCATAAGAGGGCATCAGATCTTCTGGAGCTAGAGTTATAGGTAGTTGTGAGCCAAGGGAGGTGGGTGCTGAGGACTGAATTCTGCAAGAGCAACATCTGCTCTTAACCACTGAGATAGATCTCTAGCCCTGGGAATAAATATTGAAAAATGAGTTATTTACTGAAAACAATTTTGTGAAGTCATGGATCAATAGCAAAGAAAATGAAATTAATTTGTTCAAATTTATTTTCAAAGTGCAGTCCCAACAGCAACAAATGATCAGACTTTACATTCTTATTTCTCCCCACCTTCCTCCCTCCCACCCTTCCTAGCTTAATTCTTCTCTTTCTTTTGGATTTTATTTATTTATGTTTTATGTGAATGGGTGTTTTGCTTGCATGTATGTCTGTGTACCACATTCATGCCTGGTACACATGGAAGTCAGAGGAAGATGTGGGATCCCCTGGGACTGGAGTTACAATTGGTTGTGAGCTGTCATGTGGTGGCTGGGAACTGAACCTGGGTCCTCTGCAAGAACAGTCAGTGCTCTTAATCACTGAGCCTTCTCTCCATCCCGAAGGCTTTCATTTCTGTGTTCAGTTTAGGTATCTGTTAGCTGACGACTCACTGGACCCGTGCTAGACTCAGGGTGGGTGTACACTGGGCAGTAACTAAGAGCAGAAACACAGAAGCAAAGACAACAGCAGCATTGCTTACCTTACTAATGTGAAACTCCAGGCGTCGCATGTACCTCTCAATCGTTTTAATTTGCTGGAATTAAAAGGAGAAGCTTGAAGAAAGAGCAGTCATTTGCAGTACAATAGATTAGGCTTGTGAAAGTAATTTCATTAGCATGTCCTGTACACAAGTACCGGAAATACAGTACTTACTACTTCCTCTTTCCTCCCACCTTGGTCACTATTTTAGGGTTGTTCTAAAGTTAATTTTGAAAATATTTTCAAGACACTATCTTGAGAGATAAGCTTGAACTAATTATGGTCATCCCAGGTTTAACACGAAGATGGTAAATCCTTTTGATTTCTGGTAGAGCAATCTCATTTTTTGTGTTTTAAATGGAGCTTTTTGCACATTGAATTGTGTGTGAAACTGGGGTACATTTTATAATTGTTATTTGCCCATTGTGGGAGACAGCCATGGGTTTGGGCTCACAGACACAGATGCTAATGCCAGTCCCATGAGTTATAAATATTGTTGTAACATACATTTGGCTTAATTGTCCCTTAAAGTATCTTCACAGAGACTATGCCATAATTTGGCATTTAAATAAAGCTATGTATATAGAATGGCATGGAGAATCACATTGTACACAACTAGAAAGGAAGACACAAAAATCTCAGTTCTAAAAGGCCTGAAAGAATTTTGTCAATAAGAATGTATATATTATATGAAAAAAACTAGATTTAAGTGTACTAATTTTCTATTTTCTATTTTTATTTTTGAAGCATTATATTACATATGGAATATATGGTGGAAAAGTATATATTTTAGTGGCACATAAACAATTGTGACATTTTCCAATCAGAGATGTCTCATATTTTATGGAAATGGCGGCTACTACTTAAAGACCACATGGTAAGGACCTCTAAATCCAAGTTCCAGGCTCACAGAAACCAGAGCAAACACACAACCAGGAGGCCGTGCTTCCCCTCCAGTCAAATGCCCTTTGACTCTGCAGTGCCTAGTGTTCATTCTCATCTCGTAACGCCCCCCCCCAAAGGTGTTTTTCTGCCCAAGATGAGAAAACCATCCTTTATCTGGAATCGTACTGTCTCCCCAAGGGTCTCTTACTGACATCTGCTCAAAGTGCAGAGTTTCACTTCCAGCAGCACCCCAACAAAGAATGATAGCCTACCTTGTCTAGGTCATACAGCACACCCTGAAATGAAAAGAAGAGCCCCTGGTTAATACACATCCTCCTCAGAAATGCAGTCCATTTTAGTAAGCGGTGCAGCTCACATTTCTACATTGCCTGTGAAGGAATCACAGCCCCATGAAACTCTGCTGGATTTTCTGGTATCTGATTTTACTGAGTAGAACTCTGGGTTACTTGGAGTACCCTCAAGCCAGCATCGCCTCACCTCTGTGATTCTATGACTGCACCCCATGCTTGCGGCCTCTCGGCAGGCAACTAACTGTAAGGGCTCATAAGAAAAACCCAGCAAAGTCTGTCTGCCAGTGAAGCGGAAGATAAACACACGTTCTCACACAGCTGCCAGGCCTACCTACGCAGATTAGCCTGGCGGTTTTTGTGCTGCCTTGAAAGGTTAAGGTGCAATAAGTAACACTTTGGTAGCAGCAAAGTCGGTCCTCACAAACTCATCAGAATACAGCATTCTCCATCCAGCATGGATTCTCATGGGGCTCAAAGGCGCTTTCGCTCTGGCCTTAGCGACCTGCTTCCCTGCTTCCCTGACTGCTGCCACTGGCTGAGCTGGTTAGTTTTTGACACAATCCAGGGTCATCTGAGAAGCGGGTCGTCAATTGAGAAAACAAAAAACAAAAAACAAAAACGCCATCAGGTTGGATGTAGGCAAGTCTGTGGTGTGGGAGGGTCCTGCCCGTTGTGGGCGGTGCCACTCTCGAACACGTGGTCCTGAGTACTGTAAGAAAGCAGGCTGAGCCAGACGCGAGGAGGAAGACAGCAAAGCAGTGTTCCCCCGTGGTCTCTGCTTCCGTTCTTGCTTCCAGGTTCCTGCCTGACCTCTCTCTACGATGGAATATAGTCTGTAAACTGAAATAAATTCTTCTGCAAGTTGTGTTTGCCTATGGTGTTTATCATAATAATGGGAAGCAAACTAGGACATTGACCCATATTTACAAGTGGGAGGTAGAGCAAATAAATATTCTTGTTTCTGAATCCTGAATGTACTAAGGTGCTGCTGGGAAAACAGCAACGTATTATTTTGTTATATTACGTAGAGTTTTCTTTTCTTAAAGATTTGTTTATGTATTTTATATATACGAGTGCTATGTTTGCATGTATATGCCTGTACACCAGAAGAGGTCACTGGATCAGAGCTGCCGTATAGGTGCTGGGAATTGAACTCAGAACTTCTGGAAGAGCAGCCAGGGGTCTTAACCACTGAGCCATCTCTCCAGCCCCACTTAGGGGAGTTTCCGAAAACCATCTTTATCATCTTTATTTCACTATGAAGTATATCTATATGAACACATAGCACATACTCAGAAGTGTTAAGAATAAAGCATTTAAAAGACAATAATCTTTTTCCTTTTATTATTATTGTTGGCTTTTTGTGAGACAAGGTCTCCCTATAGTGTAGCCCAGGCTGGCTATCTTCCTGCCTCAGCCTTCTTCTTGCTGGGTTACAGCTGTGAGGCACCGTGCTCCAATCGTCTTCCTTCCAAACACAGCTTTGTTAAGCATTCCTCCCCTCCCCTGATCTCCCTTCCCTTCTCTTCTCTTCCCCTCCCCTCCCCTCCCCTCCACCTCTGGTAAGCTAGGAGTGGAACCCCCCCCCCCTTGTGTTAGCATCCTCATGGCCAGGGAGACCTACCAGGCGAGAGTTTCTTTTCATATCTTTTAACTGAGCGGTCAACTTGTCCAGCTCCGTCTGGTGAAACTCCAGGTACTCGCTGCAAACATAAGACATCATGGTGAGCTCTCACTTCTAGAGGGATCTGAGCAGTTGCTGACCTTTGCCTTCTGAGACGGGTTAAGAATAGGAATCTCAGTCAGTCACACCTATAATCTCAGTACACGGGAGACTGAAGCAGGACTGATACATATTCTAGGTCAGCCTGGGCTGTACAGTAACTCCCAGGCTAGCCTGGGTTACAGAGTGAGACCCTGCCTCTCTCTCCTCTTGGCAAAAGAATCAAACCTTTGCTCTGTGACTGGGGAGCATTTTGAAAGAACTAACAGTTATGTCTGATCTTGTCTAGTTTGAAGAGAGGGAGAGAGATGGGGGGGGGGGAGCAGGGAGTGTCCCTGTGAGGATGAAAATCCAGAAAGGAAAACTGGGTAGGAAAGGCCAGGCAGGACTTAGGTCACACAGTTTTGTCACCTTGTAGTGACTGCAAGTGCCTTACTAAATGCTAGGCAAGTTTTCTTTTGGACAAACTGTTTTTATAGCCCATTCAGGATGGTTTCAGAATCCTTTACGGCATGTTTGCATGTGTGTATGTTTGAGGCAGGTTGTATACTATGCTATCCAGGCTGACTTTGACCTTTTGATGATCCTCCTGCCGTTGCCTCCTGAGTGCTGGGTAGAATTACAGTTGGGATCCACCACACCAGGCTCAGAACCCTTCCTTAGCAATCTCTAGTGCAGCAGGGATTGGACTTCACTTAACAATATACACATGGACACTATAAACACATCACTGTGTCAAGCCTGTTTCAGGGTCATGGATACAACATGCAATCCCAACCGTCTCCCATCTGGGAGACTTATTAGAAGCTGCTTCAATTATAGAACAGGAAGGAAATACCCAGCGAAGTATGCTGGTATGTGTTTTTCTTCTGTAATCCCAGCACTTTACAGGTGGAGATGGAGTCAGAATTACAAGGTCATCGTTGTCTACATAGGGAGTTCAAGGTCAGCCTGAGCCACATGAGGCTCTGCCTCAAAACCAAACAAAAGAATAAAATAGCAGAGGTACACATAGCTGTTTTCAGAACTGATTTCCTAAGACTACTAGCTTTTAGGAAAGAAAGGGGTTATTTTAGGAAGGAAAAATGCCCAAAGTGCATTGTCAAGTCTATTGTTCTTACTCAAGTCCCTTTTTCAAGGCCCTGTAGACCTCCTCCACTCTCTTTGGCTGAGGCTCTTTGGGAGTGTTGTTATTTTTGTGCCCTAAATTGTGCATTTTCTTCAGCTTGGCCTGAGGCTTCTTGAGGGCAGAGGCATTTTCAATGAAGGAGTTACACCTAAAGAAAGAGAAAGGAGACTGTGAGTCTCAGACATCAAAAAGACCCACCAGGGAAACGCCTTTTAAATCTTCTCGCCTCCATCCTAGTGCCCCAGATGAAGGTAACATGACCCTGGACAGCTACAGATCCCAGCTGACCACGTTTTCTTTCTTGATATTTGTTGAAAGTTTCGCTGTGCAGAGGCTACCCTGTGGCACAGCCTAGCTTTGAGTTGTATGTCTTTTGAGGGCGCTCTTGTAGTCTAGCTCAGAGTGAGCCAGGAATAAATGTTCCAGGTGGAAACAATGAACAGGTAGAAGCTATATCAAACCAAAAGGAAAAATTTTTTTTTGCATAATATGAGATACAAACTTATACCTCAGCTAATTTTCTAGGGCATTGAACAAAAACACGTGTACCTTGTACTCAGAGCTCTCCTTGGAGTATCACTTATTTTCTTTAATTATTTAATTCCGTTTTTCCGCATGTGGGATCTGTGTGTGTATGTGCAGGTGCTAGTGCATGTGTGTGCACATGTGTGTACACATGTGTATGGAAGCCAGACGCTGACTTTTGGGTATTGCTCTTTATCATTCTTCATATTATTTTTTTAGACAGAGTCTGTCTTCAAACCTGGAGCTCCCTTGGAAAGCGAGCATCCCCCATCAAACAAACCGAAGATGAGTTTCCTTGCATGTTATCCACTCACTCTCTGTACTTCCTTGGTTCTATGAGAAGAGGCGATTCCAGGGAAAGTAGGGCCTAATTTCCCAAATCCCCAGAGTCATTCTGTGAGGCATAGTCTTCACTCACTGCCCACTTTCATACCAAAAACAGGAAGGTAATGGAAAGTGTTCGGGGTTGGAAGTGAGGCAGGAGGGAGTCCACACTCTTAGGTCCCTGGCTAACTCTGGTACCTATTAGCATACCAAAGTGCATGCTTGCCTCCAGGCTCTCTCAGTATGGCAAGGCAAGTACCTGCTACAGAGTCCATGCTGGCACCCTGGCTCTTCTCACCGCTTCCAGGGCTAAACTTTTTCAGGTCATGGGCTTTCTTTCCCCTGGTGTCTGATTCCTATATAACCCTGCCGTTGCAGCCACGTATTTTCTTGGCCTTCTTCCTTTCTTGGCCTCCTCTCTCACTCCCCCCACCACACACCCACCCCATTGGCCAGTCCAGTCTGCTGGCCATGCTCAGTGTACTACTTTCTCTCCAAGCTTTGGACTCTTCCTGATGCCTCTGGCTGTACTCCCTCTCATATCCACATTAAAAACCATCTCCTAAACTATAACTCTGATCGGTCCTGTCCCCAAAAGCGAGGACATGACCGCTCATAATAGCAAGGATGAGCCAGCCATTTACATACACATATCTTTGCACAAGAAATTCTAAGTGATAAGATGGTTGCACTTAGCTCTGGGTGAGTTATGTTTTCGGTGAAGAGGACATTAACTACCATACACATGCACGTTGGTGAGGCACACACATCAGCTCCTGCCTCTTTCTGCTGCATCCCAGGAGGAGCACCCAGCACTTGCCTGGATCGCCTTTCCTGCAGGCCGCTAAAGCCTGCGAAGGACTGGCTCCGGATGATGCCATTGGGCCCTCCAGGCGAGAAGGATTGGGATCCCACCAGCATGATTTCTGGGAGTCTGGTTGGCAGTCCTGTAAGACAGATGGAAGACCATGGTGACTGTCAGGCAGGTTCACACAGAAACACTGAGCTTGTCGACATCTAGAGGCGGGACAGGGTGGAAGTGATTCACGAGGTCCTGGTCCTGAGGGCCATGAAATGCTTCTGAGATTCTCCTAAAACGATACTCATCCACTTATACCAAAATAAATATGTTCACACAAGTTACTGCCACTTAGGTTTCCTTTGGAGGGGTAGTGTATATGATGCACATGTGTTTATGTGTGTTTGCATGTATATGGGCACGTGTGCATATACATGTGGACACTTAAGGTGACTGTAGGAATCCTTCCAGATAGTGTTCATCTTACTCATTGTGGCAGAGTCTCTCAACCGAATGCAGAATTGACAATATGGCTTGTTGACTTAGCTAGCTTGCTCCAGGGATCCCCCATTTTCAGCTTCATAGTGTTGGAATTATAGCCCAGCTGCTATGCCTTCTGAGAGTTTATGTGGTTGCTGACAACTGGACTTTATCCTCAAGCCTGCACACTTACTGGCTGAGACATTCCCCGTCTTCCCAAGTGACATATGTTTCCTTAGGAGGGCCCACTCTCCCTTCTTTCCTTTCTTCCTTCCTTCCTTCCTTCCTTCCTTCCTTCCTTCCTTCTTCCCTTCATCCCCCTCCCCCTTCCTTCTCTCTTCTTCTTTCTCTTCTTTTTCTTCCATTCCTTCTTCTTCTTCCTCTTACACCCCCTTCTTTCTCAGGTTCAGCCAAGGTTACATTTGTGATGCTTCAGTCCATTCAGCTACAACAACAACACTGCACAAATGAGCCACCATCAAAATTTCAGATAGTCCAACAACCTGAAATTCAAAACATGGTCAGGCCTACAGATGGGATTTTATGTGTAAGGCTGAAATTATGAGGTTTCTTTAAAGATGAACTTATTTAAACTCTCTCCCCCTTCTCTTCTTATTTTGATAGATGAGACTGTGTCACTAAGTTGGCTGGGCAAGTAAGAAAGGGTAGAAGGAGTGCTCACAAAGGAAGTGATAACCTGGGTTAGATAAGAAGGCAGGAGAGGTAGGAGGCCTGGATCCTTTTGAACCTTTCTTCAGTTGTTTGTTTGGCTTTGTGAAGATTCCCTGTGACAGACCAAGGCGCAGTGTCAAAACACAACTTCAGCTGGACAGAGGCCCAAGGTTCTTCCCCCAAGGGACTGTCCTAGAACTGTGAGGTAACCCTACCCATAGTCAATCAAAGCATATACCATTGTCTCAGCAGGTGACATCAGCCCAGGCAGGGGCAGAGCTAGCAGGAATAGGTGAGTGTCCACACTGAAACCTCCCAAGGTAGACACACACCAATTAGCATCACCCATTGTTCTTTAAGGGACCTAGGAGAAAGAGAGAAAAGCTAAACCCTCAGAGAGCAGACTGCCCTCCACACTGTCACAGGGCTATAAATCTCTACCCCTCTGGGGAAAATGTGCCTTGTTGCTGGGGACAAGGTGCTCACTCACTGGAAAGTCAGTCTGGGGATGAAAAGTAAGCTGGCTTTTCCGTGGGATGGGACAACAACCTTATAAGAACCAAAGACAGAAGGGATATTCTAGACTTTTAAATGTAATGACATAGAAATCTGTAAAGGTAATGGGCTGTGCTCAGTGACTAGGCAAGATGAAGCTGACCCTCATTACTCCACAGAGAAGCCCAGTTTCTTGAATTCCTCAGCAAGTTCCCACAATTGCTCTCTCTGGCCCTTAGGTTTCTGTCTACATTTCACTGAGGGTCCTTAGGCTCGCAGAGCCGGCCCACACAGCGTGATGTCATCTGCAAACTTCTAAGAATCATCAAGAAGGCATTATGGCTTGTGTTCTTTCCTCACTCCATTGGTTTATGTTTGTTTTCCCTTGGTGCTAGGGATTGAACCCAGGGCCTCCCACTTGCTAGACAGGGGTTCTACCACTGAGCTACACTCCCACTCCTGTAGTCAATGATTTGACAGCCAAACCCTTATCTCATTAAGTCTTAACTTCACAAATTTCTTAAATTTCATGCTATTATTTTATGTGTATGGTTCTTTTGCCTGCAAAAATGTCTGTGCACCACAAGCTCAAAGTGCTAGCTGAGGCCAGAAGATGGATCTGTAACTGGAGTTACATATGCTTGTGAACTGCCAAGTGGGATGCTGGGAATTGAACTCAGGCCTTCTGGAAAAGCAGCCAGTGATCTTAACATCTGAGTCTTCTCTGCAGCCACAACTTGAAGAATCTTATTAATACTGTGTCTCATTTTGTAAATTGTTCAGCAGGTCTAATGATGAATCTTATTAATACTGTGTCTCATTTTATAAATTGTTCAACAGGTCTAATGATAAATCTTATTAGTATTGTGTCTCATTTTGTAAATTGTTCAACATGTCTAATGAAGCATAGACACCTGAGTAAACATGAACAATAAGCTCTAAAGCTGTTTAAAATATTTGACCTCACACTTCCTAAAAGTTATATGTATGTATTTTGTTGTTTCCTTATCGTGTGAGTGTTTTGAGATAGAGTCGCACAATGTAGCCTGAACTCTCTCGGAACTCACTAAGCTGCCCAGGCTGACTTTGAACTCAGGAATTCTCCTACCTTAGCCTTAGGCAGGGTCTCACCCTGCAGTACTAACTGACCTGGAACTTGTTGCATAGAGAAGCTGGTCTTATACTTGTGATGAACTTGCTGCATAGAGAAGGCTGGTCTTATACTTGTAACTTGCTGCACAGAGAAGGCTGGTCTTATACTTGGGATGAACTTGCCACCTTTGCTCCTGTGTGCTAGCACAGAAGTGTGCTGAAGTTTGAATTAAAAAAATTTTTAATTTTTGTCTCTCTCTTATTCTTTACAACAGTAGATTAGGCTACAGTGGCCTGGCTCCAAGCCTCAGGCATTTTAGGATAATTAATACAGGCAATGACCTGTTTATACAGCTGTTCAAAAGGCCCCTCAGGTGATTTTGATGTTGAGCAGAGTTGGAAAGATACTGCTTTAGAAATTCCATTATGCGATCATTTGCACTTATGATAGACTTGAAACAAAAAAAAAGGAGAACAAGAGAGCAGAGGAAAAACTGTCATGTTGGGGAAAACGTAAAACCTAGAAGAACACTACAATTGAACATATTCAAATGTCTTCTTAAATTTTATTCTTCCTTTTATTTTTATTTTATATTCATTTATTTACATTGGGGCTGGGTGTTGCTATATAACTCAGGCTGGCCAGGCTTGGCCTCAGTCCCCTGAATGCAGGGATTATTGTCTACCATGCTTGTTATTCAGTTTTGAGCTCCTGTCTGCACAATTCTGGTGTCATATTAGGTGAATGAAATACTACATTACAAAACCTGTGTCCCAGACTGCAATCTGCTTGCTTCTCCTCTCTGGGTATGAAAACATCTAAGAACAGATGTTTGTGCAGGATTTTAGGGTATATATGTGTTAGAAGATGAAACATTACTTGGAAACGTTTTACTAGCTTCCTGTGGGGAATAGGTGACTATTAGGAGCATGGCTGGGTGAGGGAGTATAACTTCAACTCATCTCATCCGTTCTAGCAATGATCATTATCTACCAGGAAAGAATTGGAGAGGTGCTTTATGTTGAAATCTCTATCCTTCCATCAGTTCCCTGTAAGACAGGCAGGCAGGCAGGCAGGCAGACAGACAGACAGACAGACAGACACACACACACACACTCACTTGTGAGGCAAACTCTTAGAGAATTGAACTAGTGGATTTTACAGGGTGGGGCACAACTGACCAGAGGGGAGTGTACAAAACACCTTCCCCCAACTCTGCAGGTCTCCAGACTCAGAAGGGTGACAAATCTTTTTTCTCTGTTTTTGAGAGAGGGCCTCAAACTTGCTATGTAGTGGAGGCTGACTGAGAACTCCTGCCCCTTTCTGCACCTGACCCCCAATGCTGGGATACAGATGTGCACCACCAGCGCCTGGCTAGGTGACAGTTCTTTGCTATGCTGCTTCCAGCTTCTACAGCCTGTAGTACGTGGAAATGACCTTGCAACTCTGCATCACTGAGCATTTTTTTGGTCACTCCATGACTATTCTGGCAATTTGAATGTGATATGTTCCCTACAGACCAATGTTTTTGAAACTTTGTCTCCAGTTGGTGGCACTCTATTGGGAGATTGTTGAATTTGTAGGAGGTGGCATTTCATCGGAGGAAGTGGGTCACTAGGAGAGGACCTTGGGATTTGATAGCTTGACTCTCCTCTTCCTTTTACTTTTTGCTTCCAGACACCAGATCCCTGGGACCTGTCATTATGCCTCTTCCCGCTGTGATGAACTGAATTTCTTTGAACTACAAACCAGCAACTACCAAACTTCTGTAAGTTGCTGTGTTAGGTATTTGGCCACAACAAGAAGAAAAGTGACCAAATCCATCTACATTTTTCTAGGAAGGTCCACAACTTTACTCAATTACTGAAGCTACCCCACATGCAGTCTTTATACTATCCAACATAGTGTAAGATTTCGAGCATTTAATTACCCACCCCAGAATAATTTGCATTTTGACAGCATACTCCATTATGCCAAATATCTTAACTTAAAGAAAGTCCTAGTAGAATTACAGTGCCACTGTTGGAAGGGACACATGATGGAGAGGAAATGTAAAACACTCATCCTTTGGTATGTCTTGTGGGAAATACCTAAGAGCACAGAGAGGCACATAAGAGACATTCATTAAGGCTATGTTTGTAACACTGAGAAATAGTATCCATGCTACTAGGCCTGTGGAATACTTGCCCATCATTCACAAGACCCTGAGTTCAATACCCAGCACCCTGCACCTACACAAATCATTACAGAAGTGATTAATGTGCTGTGGCATAATCACTAAGGTAAAAAACTCTGTCATAGTGAAAACAATGATAGGCAGAGTCGTGCATGCATGTCGTCCCAGCACTCAGGAGGCTGAAACAAGACGAGTGAATTCAAGGCCTGTTTTGGGATGTATAGTAAGAGTC